TAAAATATCTCTCTTTTTTGCTTCTCAGAATCACAGCTCACTCTCTAGTTTTGGAAGGGTGTGTTTGGGCATGACTTTAAAATTAATTTGGAAGAGTAAATGTGTTTTCTTTTTTTAGCCCAGAGTATTTAATGATATATCAAAATTATTTTTAAATAATCAAATTTTTAAAAAGCSACTTTAAAGTTGATTTTTCAAAAAAGTGATTCTAAAGATATGGACAAGGAATCGACAATTTAATATTTGTAAATCACTTTTTTCAAAATATATATAACCAAAATATACAAGTATTTCAATTAAAACTATTTTTTAATATTAAAAAAAGTGTTTGAATTAAAAGATATATTAAATTCATCCTTAAAAGAGATAAACTGGACTATGAATTAATATGGTTTATTGTGGCTAATATTAACCGGATGTTTTTTATTAATAAGGTTAATAATAAAAGTTATTTTAAAAATATTGTATTTTAATTAAAAATGTTTAAAATATGGTATGTTTTGAAATTTTTTTTAAAAATATAGTAGTTTTAAAAAAGTGAAGGGAAGAGACGACCACCCGACCATGCAACGTGGCGCCACACTGGACGCCACGTAAATTTGTTTTAAATTTAGGAGGTGGTCGTCTGACCATGTGGGATGGTGGTCGGTTCATTTTTTGAAAAAAAAACAATTTGTTATATTATATATTATTTAGTAGTTTAAATGTAAAAAACTGCTCTGGTATAGTAGGTGTACTATTACCCTAATAACACGACTTGGGATGGAAGAAATATTAGGGTAGTAGTACCTCCACTACACCACTAAGCAGTTTTTAACATTAAAAATACTAAATAATATATAATATAACAATTTTTTTTTTCCAAAAATGAACCGACTAGATGGTCATCTCTTGAAGAGACGACCACTCTTCAAGAGACGACCAACCTTCTATTTTTTAAAAGTACAATATTTTTAAAATAAATTTCAAAATCTACAATATTTTTAATATTTTTAATTAAACAACTATACTTTTAAAATAAGTTTCATTTAGAACAATATTAAAAAAAACCAATATTAACCACCAAAACAAATAGTTTGAATTTTTTTTTTATCCTTTTCTTTTTTTGGATCGGTATTTTTCCTGAAAATGGCGTGTTCTACATGAATTTATATTATGTATTAATTTGATAATGAGACAATAGACATCATTTGTCATTTTCCATTTCTTTTTTTAGAAGCTTTTTTTTTCATGAAGTCTTTTTTTAGAAGCATTTACTTTAAGGGACCATGCAATCTTTATTTTTTTTTCCCAAATTTTGATATAAAAAACAACAAACATGCAACTCACAATGTTTATGAATTTTTATTTTTTTTTATTCAACGAACATGTGATTGTAATCAATCCCTTATAGAGTCTTCAAATTAAAGATTATAATATAACTTTGCTCTTAAAAATTAATTTTATAATCTCATTTCTTAGGCTGAAAAATCTTTATTTTAGCCTTCTTCTAAGTTATTCTAAGTTCTAACCAAAAATGTCATTGTTCAGTTTTATTTTATCATGCTAAAAAAATTTCTTTCCCATTTCCTGACTCAATTTTAAATTACTTAAATTTTTAATAAAAATATTTCCCCAAATAAAGACTGAATTTAAAATCTATTAAAATTTAAAGTACTAATTGTTCTTTTTGAAAATATTAAAGTACTAACAGTAACAGTACATGCATTTCGCATTGCGCTGCCTTTATTCACCGGAAACTTGAGAACGTCCGACGTACACGACGGAGGGATCGAAAGACTCACCGCTAAACGCCGCTAATGCTGCTTGATGAACCGAGAAATTCCGGCGAAGAGGGCGTCCGATTCGGCGGCTGTTTCTGGATCCGATTTCAGAGCAATCTTGTTCAGATAGAAGCTATGTCCCATTCCTTTACTGAACAGAATCTCTACTTCTTTATTCGCCGCCTTCATCGCTTCGTAATATTCCATTTCGGTGTCGATAATCAGGTCCTTCTCCGAGATGCAGAGGAGAAACGGCGGCAGATTCAGGCTCTCCAGCGGCGGCGCGGCGGCTCCCATCGGACACGTAATCGGATGATCCTTCGAACTCCCGATCGGTAGTGACAGACTCAGAAATTTGTCTACCATATCCAGCGTCAAGAACGGCGACTGCGGATTCTCCATCTCCGATTTGCTTCGTTCGGCTCGGACGAAACCAGGATGAATCGGAATTCCTCCGGCGAGTCTCAGCGGAGCGAGATCGGAACTTCCGGCTAAGGCAGCGACCGAGTGGACGAGATTTCCGCCAGAGCTATCTCCGATTAGGAAAACGCGATCGAAATCCGCACGTTCGGCAATCCAAGGCTCGTGCGAGTCACCGAGAGCCACCGATTGCAGCCACCGGAGAGCGGAGAAGCCGTCGTCAACCGCCGCCGGAAGACGGTGCTCCGGCGCTCGGCGGAGGTAAACAGAGACACAAATTGCTTCGGCGGATCTTACAAGGTTGGTGTATGTATGATAATACATAAACCAATCCGCTTCGCTGATACAAAATCCACCACCGTGAAAATGAACCACAACCGGCAGCTTCTTATCGTCGGCGATTTTCACCTCCGGCAGATAAATCCGAACGCGAAGGCCAGATTCCCGATCAATCACCACGTCACGAGTAGCGACGCCGTCAACGAATTCCTCATGAGGCGGCACAGAGTCGGCCATGAACTTGACCTCCGGCGGTCCGGTCCAGGTCCGGTCGACGGAGCCGTCGTCGTAGACTCTGAGCCAACCGGAGACGTCGTGGATTAGGCTCTTCTTCCCTTGCGTCATCGGAATTTGTGTGTGTACAGAAACAGAGTTCGTGATTCTGAAGAAGAAGAAGACGAAATCGAAAAACTAGAAATCGCTGAGGAGGATGGAGAGAAGATGATGCGAATTGCGTTGTTTATATAACCGATTGGAAAAAGAAAGAGGAAATTACTGACGCAATTTCAGGTAAGTTCGCCGGAAAATCACTCTGCAAAATCCCTTTTGTCGTCTTCGTCACTTGCACTCTTCTTACGTAGAATACTAATTGCCAACGAACTACAATTTGCAATTCCCAAATTTCCTATCATCGACAAAACTATCGTCGCCGTTAAATTTATGGGATTTCACCGCTAAATTTTGAGGGAAAAAAATATATAAAAAGCACACTAAAGTTTGAGAGAAAAAAAAAAAAAATATATATATATATATATATATATATAAAGCAGATCGAATTTACATTCTCCAAGCTAGTCACATGGCTTAAAATGACAAAATTTCTCTATGAATTTAGGAATCTACATTTATATATATATATGGAGAAGATGTTTGGTGGCTTGAAATTTGTTCTTATTTCTCTTGAACATGCAAGTTGTTTAATTAACCAAATGTGTCCTTTTTTATGGTTTATATATCATTTGAGATATTTATTTTTCTTCTTGAATTAGTACAACATGTGGGGGATGAGGGTTGAACTCACAACCCTTTTTTACCACCGAGCTATACTTGTTTTGACAAAAATAACAATTTTTAAAATAAATCGTGATAGTGTTGATTTATATTAATTGAATACCGATTGACTATGTTAAAGTGGAGCATAGCTCAACAGTAATTGACATGTTCGTATTGTTACAAAATATTTTTAAAATTTAAATAATTAAATTAAAAAATTAGTATAAGAGGAGAGATTAAACGTTCGACCTCTTATTATTACCAAATTTTATTGGGTAAAATAATTTTTAAACCTACTTTTAAGAAGTACAATAATGTAGCTTACAGCATAATGGTTAAACAACGTGCATTGATTGGTGTCAAATTGAACATAACTCATTAAGGCACCTATCTTTGACCAAGAGGTCATGAGTTCAAACCCCATAGACCATTTATGAAAATAAACTAAGAGAAAAGAAAAATATAGTTTTTCTCAAAAAAAAATTAATAATAATAATAAATAAAGCAGAAAAACATTTTTAGATCCGCTACTTTAAAAAAGTAAAAAGTTTTAAAAGAATCTAAATCACGCTTTTTACCCCAAAAAAAAATTATATTTAAGCTTTAATTAAACGAATTGCAACTAAAAGAATTTTAGTAAATTATTCCTTTTGAGATAATTAAATTACTAATTAATAAGAGACTTATTGAAAGTTACATTTGAACTAATCTTGAAAAGTTCAGTATTTTAAATTTTGAACTTATCCTTTATTTTTCATGTCTTGTTCTAACCCTTTAATTTTTTTTTATTTCGGTTTGGTTTGGGTAGGTTTAAAAATTAGATTAACAAAAAAAAAACCAACTAAATCGAAATAATTACAAGACAACAAACAAGAAGGATCTAACATGAGTTTTAGAAAATATTTTAGCCAATTAAAATTATTAAAAAAAATTCATCATTATAATAAAAAATATTTTAAAATTTTAGTCTAATCAAAATGATCATTTTTCGAAAATATAATACCAAAACGAAAATTTTGAAAATATATAGAATAAATCGAACCAAATTCGAAATTATGGAAACTAAAATAAACATTTTGAAAGCTGAGGGATCTAAATGAACAAAAACTAAAAATATTGAGATAGAAATGACACTTTAACCAAATAATAATTAAAAATATAGTCAAATTTGTTTGAAAATAATAATTTGTTTTTGTTTTTGTACACATTTACCTAATGGGTTTGACTTAAATATAGCACTAAAATATTTACTTGTGCTTTAATTTTTTAAAAAATTTTATAACGAGATATAAAAAAGTTCTAGAGAAAAATTCACAATTATTATTATAATTAAAAAACGTTTTAATATGGTATTTTTCATACAATTAAATCAAGTAAAATTCAGAGAAATTATTATATAAAAAAAATTCCTTTATAAAGAAACTATTTGTTTTATTTAATAAAATATTCAATTTGCGAGTGATCTTTTCTCAACTACCATAATTTTCTACCAAACTTCATTTTTTTACTGTTTCTATAAATTCTTTCTAGAAGGAAAAAAAAGGACAAGAAAGACAAATTGGGGACAGGTATGACCTTAATTTCTGGTAGATCACTAGGAAACCCTTTGGAAATTGTTCAGAAATTTACAAATAAAGGGGTCAATTGTCAAAAAGCATGTATGAATGTTCAATTAATTTATCATTTTTCTAACAATAAAGTGATCAATAATATATTTAAAGTTGTCAAAAAATTGTTAAATAAATTAATTGTTTCGGGAAAACCCGTATTTTACTATTAACTATTAACTTTAAACTTTCAATGATATATTTAGTTTAATTTTTTAATTTTTAATATTTTTTTAGCGAGTTGTGGTTATTATTGTGATTAAACTCCTAACTATTTTTAAGTATTAGTCATTCCACTTGTGTTCGACATTTTTATCTATAGTGAAATGGCCGAAGATGGATCGAGACGGTAGTTTCCTCCCCAACTCCACTAAAATTTTGAACGTTCATCCTCATTTCAAGAAGAATCAAAATCGAGATTAGAGAATCCTCATTCAAGAATCGAACATTGATTGAGATAATTGCATGATAATTAATATATATGTGTACACTACATCCAAACATATTATTTGTCTTATTATTGATTAAGATTGTTACAAGGTAGCCTATGATTTGAGTAAATTTTTTTTATTCATTATTTTAACGAATTCATATGTAAAGTTATAAATAAATCAACTCGATATAAAATAATGAGATATCACTTTATTGTTTATATTTCATTGATGGTACGGAATTAATAAAAGAGGGAGAAATTGTCACACACGAAATGAATTGATTTTCAATTATATAATATATATAGAAGAAAAACTATAATGACGAATCGTACGACCAAATAAAGTATAGCATCAAATTGATGATCAATAAGAAAGCTCAACCACATAAGTTTGTTTTCGTGATGACCCACCAAAACAATTTCAAGGAAATTGATTTGGGTCATTGAAAGGACTATTGACCAACCAAATTTTGATAGAATATTGCCACACAAAAATGTAGTAAAGTCCATACAAAAATATGCAGAAGTTTTTTCTTGCAAATAGAGCACCATTGGATCCTAGAGGAGATATTCCTATGTAGAGTTTATCACGAGTATTACGACTAGGGTATTAACCTTTCATCGATACGTCGATATTTCTATTGATATTTCTATATGTTCGTTGGTTCAACATTGATATGAGAGATGAACTGAAATTTTCATAATATCGCTAAAAAAATATTTTCAACAAAATATTATTAATATGAATATGATGTTTTTTTAGTACATTGGATGGTGATTGAACTATAAAAAAATTAGTAACCAAAAATTAAGGGGGAAAAAAAGCACACCCAAATATTAAGTTCTCATTTTTTTCCTTTGGACGTGGTAGATCATTGCACAGTGTAGTTCTAGAGCTTCCAATCAAAGTGCTTTTTATAATAATTTAAAGAAACATTCATAAGTTATGACACTTGAGCTTACGATCTTTTAGTTAGAGATATATGTCAATTATTACTGAATTATGCTCGGATATGATGTTAATATTGATAATTTTTAACTTATTTAAAAAAGTGAAATACTTGTTTGTTAATTTGGAGCCGATGGAATGTAAGTCTGAATTGTGTTTTTTGTTTTCCAATATTTATTTGGTATATTTATTTTCGAAAACTGTTGTGACCAAGTGGTAAAATTTCTAAAAACGACATTTTTTATGTTTTCAATATTTTTAAATTTTAAAATTCAAAATTACATTAAAAAAATATATTAAAACTTTGATGAATATTATGCTATAAATTAATTTCATTTTAAAAAAAATAAAAATAAAACATATGAAACATAATATTAAATTGGAGCAACCTAAACCGTAAAAATGAAGAAGTGGGAGAGCAATACATGTATTGCACCCTATATTATAAATTATATAATATTATAAAAAAATAATTAAACAAAATTTGTAACATATATGTTAATAAATTAATTAATAACACATAGGTTACAAATTTATACCAATTATCACACGATAAAGACTAGCGGATGGATGAGACATTATTGCACGGTTCAAAGCTGTAGTAAAGTTTCGTTGTTTTTAATAGGATTATTATTAATTTACCAAGAAATAATGGAGGATGAGTTAACACTTTGTGTCAATATTTATACAGATGTAACAAGAACAACACCTAAAATACCAAATGACACACAAATTATTCTGTGAAAGATCTGAATTCCAAGAAGAAAGGCATTGCCAATGAATGATACAAAAAGATGTTACCTTCAGAGCTCTTCTGATGTCTCTGCACTGTCGCCATGAACTATCACTTTGGTTAAAAGGAAACCGAGAAGCTCCTCTTACTCTCTTGGACGAGCAAGCCAGAGCGAACTAAGAGCTCGTAGCCGGGAGAAGTAGTCGTGTATGGCGAGGAGCGCACGAGCAGACTGACGAGTTGTCAATATTCGATGCATTTGTTGGAGCGTCTGTTGTCGCAGATTGTCGGCCTGGAATTCAAGAACCAAAGTATGATGAAGTGCGGAAAAAAAGAAATCATTTCAACAAAACCACAACGGCATGAAACGGAATCTTAAAGAGCATTGCTTCCTTTGAAGAGTAAAAGAAGCATACGGTTGTGGAGTTTTTCGAATGATTAAACATAATGATGTTAAAAATAGGACATGTTTGAGGATCTTGCATCAACTATCTATAGTTATGTTTGAAGTTCGAACATTCAACAAAGGGTCAAGGAGGTGCTTATAACTCATGATATTTGTCATTATCGATCAAGAAACAGATCGTTCAAAATGTTTGACATACGAAACAATTTTTGCATTGGATAGTATGAAACAACAGCCTTTATTCATGCTCGGTGGAGCGTTCAAGAAAAAAGGGAAGGGGAGAAATAAGCAAGGAAGCAAAGTTCCAAGTTTTGAAACAATGAAAGAAAGCAAAAATTGATACATATACATATACTGTATATTATTGAAAGGCTTACTTGGCGTATAAAACCTTCGAGGGTCCCGAGTTTACCCATGGCCATGGCCATTTGACCCATGTAGTTTGCAACATTCCCCGATGAACCCGAGGAACCGAGAGATCCGCTCAATAACGTCTCTGCCAGGGACTGTTGCAATGCCTCCATCCCTTGTGATAATGCATCTTCTGCCTGCTGTGATGATTGCTGCAAGTTTGTGATTCCCACCAATTGCTGCTCTGTTAGAGGCTCTAATTGACTTACAAGAAGCTGCAACATTATCATAACATTTGATTGGAGTACAATGTTAATAAGGATTCTCGAGAAGCGTCATAAAATAAGCTGAATCAGGTGTTCCTTCCGAGCATGAAGATATGCTCAGATGACAAACGCATACGTATCTCTAATATAACTTTTAAAAGTTTAAATGATATCAAAACATGACCATATTTTTCTTTTATTGTCTTCCTGTAAAAAATATCCTCAGCAATCTCGTTTTCACCAACCACAGTCTGAATAAGCATATTTCGACACCAACCCGAGCTTTTGCTCTTTTCTTTTTGGAGAAAGAGAGGGAGGGAGGTTAGAGAGAGCATTAATCACCTTTAGGAGCTCGGATGAACGAAAACCCCCGAGCCAGAGAAAACATCTTTCTGCAGGTGTTTTCCACATGCCTGATAATAAATGGAAAACATCAGCCTTTGCCGCATTGCCCTTGAACCTGAAAAGCTCATCATAGTGAACCAAGATGCCATCAACGATAATACGCAGTTCGGGGTCACTTGCATGAGAATTAACAGCTGATCTCAGTTCGTTGATTTGACGGTTTTTATCTTCAAGCCATCGAGCATATTCCGCATCAAATGCCATGGCCCCTGCTAAAAAAAGGCCGCAGTGAATATATTAGCCCATGTTGCAGAAGAGAACTTGAGTAAACAGGACCAAATTATAAGAGGGAAAAATCATGAACATTTCGTTATATTCTTCAAACAGCTCACAGACATGAAAACTCGATCGTGCACTTTTTCATTTCAGGATGTCACACAAGCAACCGTGAATTGAAAATCTTGAGCAAATAAATTGAACAAGTTTTCTCCACTTTGCCTTGAAGCAAGATCTTGACAAAACAGAAGCTAACATCTATAGAAGCATTGGTAGACAATCTTAACAACATTTCCAATAAATATTAAGAGAGATGATAAAGGGAATACCATTTCCACTCATTGAATGCGTCTGGTCACCTGAGCTTGATATGAAAATTCCCTATGAAAAGTATAGCTAGGATGAGCACAATCAAATACAATTGGCGATGAGCATAAGTTGAAGAGACTAGAGAGTGATCATTACAAAAAGATAACATTATATAAATATGGTCAAATTACGACTTGAGTGTCTGAACTTTTGAGATTTTGTCTAATGCATCTTTGAATTTTCAATTTTGTGTCTAATAGATCTTTACTATTTGACCCTTTTGTTAATTCGATGATCTACACAAAATTAATTTTGTATCTAATAGGACCATAATCTTTTAATTTTGTGTCTAATACAAATGTGAAATCCGAAAAATGTCGAGTAGGTCAATGACCTATAAGATATAAACTTGAAAATTTTGGAACCTATTAGACACTTTTTAAAATTCAGAGACCTATTAGACATAGTCCTAAAAGCTCATGCATTGAACTGGTGATTTAACCTAAAAATATTGATATGGTCCATCAATGGGAGAATATTACCTGCTGTCGAGCACGCTGAAGCTCTTGCTCTAGTTGTGTCAACTTTAAACGACTGCTCTCTAGTTGTTGAACATATGCCTGCACAAAATAGAAAATTCATGATAAGCAAGGGATGCATGCAGCCAAAAGGTATATGTTTAATACAAAAGATGCAAAATTTTCAAAACCAAGGTGGTCAAATCCCAAATAAATACCAATTAATGAACCTCCACCATATACTACCAAGCATCTCCAAGACAACCGTCCTTTTATCTCAGAGAAAAAAAAAGTTTGATCAATAAAAATAGCACATTTCCTCTACGAGAGCCCTTTTATGGCATCTCTAGTTGGAAAGAAATTCTAGAGTTTTTGAAGACAGTTCCTCTACTTTTGACATTTTTTGCAGGAATGTATAGCACGCTACTTGGTGGTGCATCAATTACAGGAAATTCTTTTGTAATACAACCTTTCCATGGCTATGAACAATTGGAAAGTGTTTGTCTAGCCATCCGGCGGGGTTTCCCCTACCCCATCCCTTAGGTTGTTTTTTTTCTCTCTTTGTTTGGTATATACAAGTTTCTTATCTTAAAAATAAAAAATAATAACAATAAAATTAAAAAATAATAAAAAATAGCACATTTCATTAGGGTTTGATTGTTGCAATGTATCCCCACTGAACCGGGTCATTCTTCACAAATTTGTCAACTGCTTACAACTAGGTTACAAGCATTTTGGTCCAAGCAAGCAACAAGTAGGAGAAGGAAATATTTTAATGGGTAGTTAAAGCCTACGCTAAGCTGCCAATCGATATTTGAATAACTGAGAAAGTAATACTAGTATGAAATATCGTGAAGAATATCATTAGTCAATTAGCATCCACCTCAAATGTTTGAAACAAATTACAAAGTTGTGAATTTATTATCCAACTGAACTAACTAAACCATAATAACGAAATGAAGTATTAATTTTAAGCCCATACTTTTTTCCTCAATCGGCTTTTCCTAGCAGCCTCACGATTTTGTGCTAGTCTGCGAAGAGTCTGCAAATGATTACCACATTGCTTAGCAAAAGATCATCAATACACACTTCATCGAACTCAGAACTTAATTATAAAAGCAATCCAAAGAATACAACCTTTTGGTCAGTTTTATCCTTTGATCTGTCACTCGAATCAGAAGCCATAATAAGAGCTTGGCCTCTATCAGACTGCAAAATGAAATGAAGTTAGACTATGTAGATGACAACAATCAAAATTTCATTAGCTATAGAACAAAAATTATCCAGGCAAATCATAAAAGGAATTGTATCTTAGTCTAAATAATAGGAAATATCAAATATGAATGCCTGAGCATAAAGATTTCATAAACAAAAAAGACACCGGGGATGAAGGGTTGGGTGGAGTGAAATGAATGTGAAGTACTTTACCCGCTGGTTCTTTTCATCTGTGTCCCCATCAGTTGAGATATCAGTCCTGGGACTGGCATCAGCCATGGAAGCCTCTTCCTGTTTTTATATATTACCAGTCAATATGACACCCTAATGTGATAGAACCCTACAACGAACCAAGCTCTGAAGCTCGCACAGAAAATTGGAGTTGTATCAGGTGAATCTGGTGAACTTGTACGCATAGTTAATTTGATTGCACTCTTACTGACAGTGTAATTCATTAGGTTTCTAGAAACAATAGAAAGTATACACAAGAAGCAAATGGGCACGAGGATGAAGAATGCATTTAAAAAAAAAAACTCACAACATAACAATTCTGATCCCAGTTCTCAAAGTAATTCTAGATACCAAAAGAAGCTTACATTAAACATATCCCCACGAACGGTTGGAGAACCAGTTGGTCTAATAGCTTCCTCTAAAGGATAACCAATTGACTTCTCACATGTCCCAAACCAGAAATGCAATAAGAATGGACCTTCTTCCTGTGCAACTGAAAATAAAAACCCATCAATTTTGACTTCATCTATCAAATCTGAATTGGTCCTCTAAGTCATATTTTGGAGAACCTTTGAGGGGAGAGGTTCCTTTTTCAGATTATAATAGGATTTCTTTGGTGCTTCCAGCTTAGCATCCCATAATGGTTTTTGTGATTATACCCTGACTATGATTCATTCAATTGAAATCCCTTTGTGTAAACTACTTTGGGTTAGGGACATTTCTCGTCTTCCTTTCCTTTGTATTGCTTTTCATAGTTAAAAATATGTCACGTGACCATAGAGTGATTAAGCACAACATAGATTGCATAAACTCATGTAGCTCAATTATGTTAGCTCCACTCCATACCAACAATATGAAACATGTCATGGGAAAACAGAATGCTCAACATAAAAATATCTATCGTTTAAAACCCATGTTTGATGTTTCTCAAATAGGCCAACTCCATATGGACAATTTGGAAGAAAATAATAAAAAGTAACCAGGGGAAGGAAAACTTAAGCATAGACTTCCAATACTCTACGTGTACACTGAAAAAGAGAAGGGAGAGGGCATGATAGGGGCAATTCGGGTACTGAGTACTCATTAATTAATTGTGACCCTTGTAACTAATAGTAATAACAGAAGATGGGGGAGTGTGGGTAGGAGTCATATAAGATGATGTAATTGTTAGGACGTAGGAGTCAGTTTTTTAGAATTAAAGTATTGGGAGAGTTCACCAGTGTCTCTTAAATTAAGCTGGTTTCTATCAGGGAATTGGATCTATGGCTCGGAACAATTTCTCCATGACGATAGGACAGAAGATTGAAGAAGAAGAAGAAGCAGAAGCAAGCTTTCTTAAGAATTTTTGGGAAAACAAAGGAACTTCCAATCAGTGAATCAAATCAAAATCACATTTTGATGTATTCGAAGTGTAATATTTTCCTGTTTCCTACTAAGAAATAGACATATCGAAAAAGCACAGTCAACTTTGAGTATACACTATCCAAACATACTACAGTTATCAATCCCATGCGCCAAGAGAGCCCTAAAATATATGTTCAAGTATGACAACTTCTCATCCATTTGCTCCTTTTCTGATAGTATAAGGATTAAGATTCCAAAGGAACAGAGTAATAGAACAAAGTTTAGAATTCAAACTCAAGCGAGTCAAAAAAATAATAATAATAATAAACTAGATGTTTGAACTTGGCAACAAAATACAATAACTGTTTCAATAACTTTCTTCGAGATAAAAAAAACGTTCTACTAAACAAAGAAATATGTGAAAAGAAACAAAAGCCCAGGCAAAAAGAGTCTTCAACCGACATTCATTTTTTCTTTTTTGCCTAAAAAAAAAGCAGGAATAATAATTACAAAAAGTGAAAAAGGTTTAGCTGAATAACAATATCTAGAAACCAAAAGGAAAACTGCATCTAGGATAACAAGGCATCTCTATGCTTAGCATAAAATGAATTTCAAATTCCATTCTAACCTCATAGCCAAAACTGTATTGGTCCACAAAATTTTGAGTTTGCCAATAAAAGAATATCCAATGCAAAAACTAGACAACTACAGTGACATTAAATAGATAAGAGAAGATCAACCAAACAAAAACACAGATCCACTCCAAATTGAAACCAGAGTCATCTAAAAGTGAACAGCAAGCATTCAAAGTTCAGCATAAGCAAACAAAGAGAACCAAATAAGAACCATTGAACTACAGAAACATTTGAACGATTCCTTATCAAAGTAATCACATAAACTCCGAAAACCAAATAAAATTAGAACGAGTGAATCCGCTAAATTGTGAAAAGGGGCAGGCTAGAAAGAAACCTACCGAGTACCGACCCTTAAACCCAGTGGCTATGCTATCGCTAACCCAAAGAAAACAGGGGCACCCCGTGGATTGCCCACGAAACTGCGACTCAAAATAGAAGCAATTTCAGCACTTTGGTTATACCCAGATGCCCAGAATCGAGAATCAATCTATCACTGCACATGTAAGTTTGGCATTCACCCGAATCAGCTGAATTTTGGAGCTCAGTGGAATAAAGAAGTGCTACTGAACTTGCCTCAAAACTCACCTGAGTAACTAACGAAGACGATAACGCTGCTGGGTCCTGATTGCGGGAGTGGGAGAGGGGACCTGGGGGGCTGGGGGGTTGTTCAAGGCCACGCCAATCTCCAGACGAATGGAAATGTTCCACTTTTCAAGGACTAATTGTCTGTAATTACTGTTGTTGGTTTTCTTTTTAAACTGAAGGATTAGACTATCGGGTGAATCGTCTTTTAGCCTTCGCTTTTGTTAGTTTAATCAAGTTTTTCACTTTGCATTCCACTGTGTCAGAAGCGCGAATTGGATTGACAATGGGGCGACCCACATTTGACAAAGAGTCCAATTTTGTTTTGCCACGTTATTCTGATTATCATCTACACATTCTAATTCTCAAATCTTCTCGTAAGAAATTTTATTTAATGAATATTTCTTCAATTCTATTGCACCTCATAATCCTTCTATATCATGTGAGATCAAGACCACGAAGTTTCAAAAGATTTATTATTTCTTAAGCTACCAATCTTTTTGAGCTGAACATGAATTACTTAAGGTATATATCATCGATTATTGGAGGTTTGAATTCTAACTCCTACGTATGATTTGAATTCGATTTTAGAAAAATATATATTTTAATGAAGTTATAGATTATCATAATTAATACACATAATTTTGATCTCAAAAAATAAAATATAATATAAATTTTAGATTACAGGCTTCTAAATTTTTGAGCCTTACGCCCCATATAATCTCGAGCCCTAATTCCGAAATTTAGCATATAATTTAATTGTTAAAAGGCATTACTTGGTTTGAAGTTCATATCCTTGAAGTGCTAACAAAATTTTTTTAAACTCCAAATTGTTTTTTATTAGTGTTGACATAACTTGCAATAAATGAGTATATAAAATCAGTTTTTTTTTTCAGAGTTAGACCAAACCTAATTTGGAAACTTACATTTTTCTTCTTATTCTAAGAGAAAATAAATTAAATTATTGAGACCAATATTAAATCAACAAAAGTTATTGTTCCGCTAACTTTAACATATCCCAATTAGTTAAAGTGTCTATCTACGACTAAAAAAAATCGTGAATTTGAATCTCCACCATACATGTTATATCAAGAAAAAAATATATATATTGTTATATATATATATGCGTGTGTATGTTTGTTCCTTATGAGACAAGATTGTGAAGTTTTAATTTTAAAATTTGTGAAAAAATGAGTGGACATAAATAGAGTTTTAAAAATGTATTGAGCTCTGAAAGGAGGATATTAATAGGAAAAGTCAACAAACTCTCCATTTTCATTCAGGTTGAGGCAGGAAATAACCCACTTGAAAACTTACTTGGGTTACCACGTTATTGTTTTATTTGGTTGAAAACTTCTTAATTTACTTTAAATATTTCTCTTATTGAAAAAAAAAGTGTTAGAAATTATCTTAACAAATATTGGAATTAATTCAGCATTCCTCAATTAATATAACTATGTGTAAATATTAAATATATTTAAATATATAGTTCCAATATGAGTTTTGATTAAATTGTCAATGGTTGAACATTTTTTATTTGAAATGTTGAATGTAATCACCTATAACAAGAAACACTTTGTTTTATCCTGTTGTTCTATATGTCATGAGAAGAAATATTGAATTCATATTAATCAATCAAAAAGTGAAACAAACAAAAAGAGAAACAGAAAACTTTACATTAGGAGGGAAAGAAAATATTTTCAGAAGAATCATGCAATCTTTACTGAATAGAGAGCAAATACTTCAGTACATTGAAGCACATTGGGGGAAATTTCACACCACTCAGCCATAGAAACACAATGGAAAACTTTTTTTTGGTGATCAAACAAATTCAACCAGGGAACACCCAGCATAAAAAATGATAAATGAAAGAATGGAAGGAGGTAGATTGTACTCTGTGTCGATCTTTCCTTTCTCAAATTCAATTCTAACTTGTGTTTATCCATGACGATGATATCTGAAATTCAGACGAGCATCATGGTCGTTCTAGTCTGCAATTGTTCCCGATTCAAAAGCACCTGTTATTCAATACAATTCAAACATTGTAAGCATGAGAATCTTGGTTCTATCCAATTTCTAAGGAAGTCATGCATAAAAACAACACTAAAAAAACATCAGGTGGGGAAAGAAAGAGAATTTTAAGCTGAATGAGAAAAAAGAAAGTCTTGTGATAGTTTTCTGACTTCATACCCTCCAAATAGCATATTGAAGAACAGGCAGGTAAGTGATCAAACTTGTAGATAAACAAGAAAATTTTGAAATACAACTATGAAAGCCTTAAGAAGTTGGAACCGGTGCTTAAGGATGAAATTCCCTCCGAATTAAAAACATCAGAGGTTAGTAATACGGAACTGTATAAATGAGCAACCAAAACATTGCCTATGTAATCCTGAACATCGGTGTTAGTTCTACTACTCGATTCTTCATGATTGATTGGTAAAGGGGGGAAATGGGGCTCTAAAAAACAATCCTCAGAGATGCTCGTGAATATGCACCGTACTTCGTAATGTGCATAGTTCCAGTTATTCATCACTCATATTTTCTGCATGCCATTTGTTGAAACCAAGGACAAGGGCATCCGTCATCCACGCGTGCCTGCATTTTTCAACTGCCTCGGGTATGGTCACCCAACTTCTGTTTCTGGTGTTTTGCTCTGGCCATGACTCAAGCTCCTCGTTGACAAATAAAGCATACATTGCTGCTCTACACAACCCATCTGGACTAAACTCATCTTGCTGTGTTTTACTCTTGAAGTGATAGTCTCCAAGAAAACCCTGAAAACCAAGATTTTACAAGAAAAGTTGTGTGAGAGAACATCATGTATCTCAGCAGCAGTGAGCTTTCTTTTTATAACTTTGTTTTCTCTCATCAATATTTATAAACTTCTAATAATGGATCCTTTTGCTTTATTTACATTGATTTCCTTAGGAATAAAAAGATATTTTTAGATATTTTTCAACTTCATGTGTACTAAATAACTCGTCTTAATAGATGTCAAATCTTATAGATAAAAGAATTGATGGGCTATTCGAAGAGACAAAATAAAGGGAAGCAAACTTTTAACGTTGATAATAGATTCCACACAGTCCAATTACAAATGCAGCATTTAGTTTTTTTTAACTAGATAACTAAATTTTCATTGAGAAAAGATGAGAGAATCCAGCATAGGCCAAAAAATACCGGCCTGGCCTAAAAAATGGTAACCCAGAAGGAGCCAAATAGATATTAATCACCAAAAACAAGAAATGGCTTCAATCCCGAAAAAGAAATACCTAACAAATAATTACAAAAATAATGCAGCAATCCCAAATAAATGGAGCATTTAGTTAAATGTCATCCAATCATAAAGTAATGTAGAAATAACAAAAAAATACATGGCTAAGATTATTTCTTTTTATAGTTCTCCACTTGGATGTTTAATGAACATAAAACAACAAAACAGTGCAAGATTAAATTAACATTAAATAACAGAACAGTGCAACCGAGTAAAGAACGTTGGTAGGTATTTCTTGAACAAAATAACAAGTTCTATTTTGACCCCAAGAGGTTGGAGCCACCTTTAAATCTATCAACCTTCCACCACTCCTTGTGGTTGGACTTTGTCAGTCTCAAAAGCATGATTTACCCGAAGTTATGTATGTATGTCAAGTACTCACATTAGTTTCAATATACCAATTTTCTTTTATGATAAGAAATCATTTCATTGAACAAAAAGAGCAAGATACCAAATAGAGGGGAGGTCGAACATGACCTTTATTATACCTGAGATAGCATAACGTTTTTCAAATAATGTAAATAGTCTAATTAATTGAGAGTTGAGACTATTGCATGATTTAGTTATCAACATAAACAATTACAATTCATGTTTATTTAAATCTTATTATCTTCTAAAGATCAAATTTGTTTCTTTTGTACCTTTAAAAAATTTTGCATTCCTTTCTAGTCATAACTACCCAATGGTATTGTCCTATGGAAACAAAATACTAATATCTGATTCATTTTTGACATTCTAAGGAAACAAATGCAGTCATTACTTAATCCAAATCAAAATTGACAATGACATAGCAAAATATTACAATTAATGCTGTTTCTTAAGATACCTTTCAAATAAATACTTCTTTTGGGGAAGAAAAATAACTAGTAGAAAAGGATGACAAGTTACTATTGTTAGTAATGTAGGTAGGAGTTCTTTTTTCCTTTCAAGTCATCCTACCTCTTCTCTTTTTCTTCTATTTTAAACTGAACAGATAAAAGTCTCCATTTTCAAATGGAATGGACTCAAAAAAACACCAATAGTTCTATACCACTCAACTTGGAGGCCTTAACAGTCAACAGAAACTCTTTCACTAACTCTAGTTTTCCTATCTTCTCATTCTTTAAGAAATTGCACCAACTTGAGTTATGCGAGCATGTTGGGATAGATAAAAGATACACATTGATTGGTGATCATAACCCTCAAAATTTTGTGCATGAGTACCCCTGGTCCTTTCTTATCTAAATTTTATCAACACCAAAAAATACTATCCTGAGTTTCGCATTTTTGCTAAAAGAAACCTTTGGCTAGATGTAAGCACCAACACCTTCAATCACCAACAACGCAGCAAAACCTAAGTCTTGAGTGAAATAACTCCAGCTACCAACTTCTTTAAAATGATCCTGGCTTCCTATAGAATTATCATTGAAACTAAATAAAAAGTTAAAAACTCTTTGCTGAGTCCTAACACTGCCAAACAATTCCAAGCAGTCATCCAATTCTAACGAACTAAAAAACAAACATGACTAAAGGATAAAAAATGAGAAGATTAAGACCCAAGTGACAATAAAACGAAGGATACGAGAGAGGGGAGGAGAGTCATTCTAGTATCACCTTCAAGCTTCCATAAAAAGTCTCGATCCCTTACCAATACAGTGGGCCAAACCCACAATTTTGGGAAAAACTAACCTAACTATGCTTGTTGATGTCATAGGCCATCTAAATATCACTACTGTTTCATTACATTAAATCAAATTACAAGTTTTATATGACTTATGGAACTATGGTCAGTATATCAAATGATTAGTCAAGTGAAGTCCATGAATTAACTCCAATAGAAGCATCAATAGAAGTTATTGTGATAGAGAAAAAGATATACCAAGTGCATAAGAAATGTTCTATCTTGTAATATTTTCTCAAATGTATTGAGGGAACAAATAATTACAATCTGTTGGTCAACTAAATCTCCCAATTTCAGGCGACATTTTCCTCCAACATTTTTCTTTTTCAAAAGCCACTAACATTCTTAACTCTATCACTTCCATTAATGATAAGTTAACAACAACAATTAATTTTTCACAACAACAACCAAAAAAGGGTCATCCAATCCTAGTCCAAGTCCTAACTCCTACCTAAAGGAATAAAACATGCGACACCCCTCAACACTCTCAAAAGCACTCCTATTTCAGTCCTATATTCTTTAAATACATTAGCAAAAAAAAAAATAAAAATCTTGCAATTTTAGCAAATAGCAATAAGAACAAAGCTATCACTATCATAGAGTATTATAAAAATTTCAAAGCTCAAGAAAAAAACATTTCAAAGTATTAGAGTAATATTCACCATAAGTTCACCACGAACACCAGCTTCTTCAATAGCTTCCCTTACAGCAGCCTCTTCCACCGTCTCGTCATTCTCCCAGCCTCCCTATTAAAGAAAATGTTGATGTTAAAGACTAAATAAGCTTGTATACTTTACTTTACACGAGAGAATAAAAGAGTTGACATTTAACCTCAAGTTATCAACATAGAAAATATTCTGAACTATGGCATATTCATATTATATGGTTAAAATCAAATGAAATTTATGTAATCTACTCTACAGATATTCACAGATCAAGCTGATGAGAACAAAGACGTGACACTGGACAACATAACAACAAAGTTCAATCACATTATTGGCTTAAGGCAGCCTTGAGCCTTGACTCCAAATTGCCTAAGGCCAACCCAATACATAATAAAATTGAACATTTAATATAAATAAATTTAAAAATGACATAATTGAGAAATTTAAAATTAATGTAGTAAATATAAATTTTATTTTAAAAATTAAAAGACTAAATATAAATTTTTGCTAAGGCCCTGAATTACCTTAGGCCAGCCGCAGCCATGGTCATCATAGGGCAAGAATGCACGACAAATTGTGATTTTGGGTGGCGTAGAGGAGCAAAATGATTTTAATACATATTCTACATTGAGAATGATATGAAATCTTTTTCTTTTTCTTTCACTTTTTATTATAGATAATATAAGAAAATTTCTCAATAATTTAATTGGAGATAATAAATGGCATGTTTTTACCACATAGATGAAGCTCATGTCATATTCTTGTAAAGTATTTGTCTTCCTACACTTGTGATATTGTTTATCATTTTGAATTTAATTTTACATTCTTATTATTTCATTAGAATTGTTTAATATAGTGGGTAAAAAATAATAATGTAACAAACTATGTATAAAGCTCTTCAAGAATAACTAATAATTAGCTTGAAATGGAGAAGTGGTGGGAAAACAACTTCATACCTTTGGGAACAAAAGACCCGGTCCACTTGGTGTGTCAATCATAAGCACCTCCACTACTTTATCTGAACTTTCATCATCAGAACTTCTATACCTAAAAGGAATACACCTGCAAAAAATAGCAAAGTGAACATTAAGATAATGCAGGGCATTCCTAAACTCTTGCAGTCCATCTCACAATAAATGTAGAAGGGAAATTGCTAAAAATTGAAATAAACTTCAAATAAAACAAATAAATTAGTACCACTTAGAATGATGATACGCCCTAAGAATCATGCATGAGTTACCCACAATCTATAATCTAGGAAACCTGTAGGAACGTATTTTAAATCTGAAACAATTATCTCACTTAAATTTAATTAGAAAAAATAGAATTTTGTGAATCTCGAAATTGATTGTGTGGCAACAGAAAGGAATCAACAAACTAACCAATTCTCCGATCCATGCCCAAGCCCCTAATCAAATGATAAAAGAACACACCAAAATCACAAAACACCAAGACCCAAACAAGAACAACGGTTAAAATCAACGCAGTCAATTTCAATTTCCTGCAATTTCCATCAGGCAGTCAAAAAAAGAAGAAAAAAACGTAAATGACAACGCCGACAACCTCATTTTCACCAAACATCGACAAGGAATGGTCCACGAAAACGACTAAGAAGCAAGAAGAGAGACACAGAATAGAAACATGCAATCCAATATAAAGTAATATAATGGGTAGAGTGTAGAAATGATAAAGAAAAAAATATATATATTGGTGGGAATGTACCCAGCAATAAGGCGACAACCGGCATCGTACCGCTGCTGATGCCGTCCAGTGCGGGCCACCAAATCAGACATAGTGAGGAAACAAACACCGAATATATATAAAAAACAAATTTTATATATATATCAGCTCAGGAAGCTAGCGGCGCTCGGTTAAGCGCATCCCTCCGGCAGGCAGTGGCGGATTCCGGCATTGTTTTCCATTCTGCGTCGGTCAAAAAACGATCTCCAAATCCATCCAACGGCGGCGGGCGACGAATGCTGCTGGCTAGGGCTGGGGGATTGCAGAATGCAGAAGGAGAGAGAGAGAGAGGATCGATCAAATGAGGGGAATGGGGATGAGCGAGAGAGGGAAGGGAGGGGGTCGCGGCTGAAGCGGATCTGGCGGTGGGGCTGGTCAATTGGGATTTGCTGGTCAAACGAAGTGGGGCCCATAAGGGGGACGTTTTTGGAGAATCCGGTGGAATCAGCACCAAGGAAATTACAAGGGCAAATTCGTAAATGAGGATGGAAATCCGATAATTTTGCTTCATCTCATGGTGGGGCCCGTTTTAAACTTTGAAGTAGTCACCGCTGGTGCTGATGTGTCATATGTGCTCCAATTTTTCAAACGCTTCGATTTAGTGGGGGCCACCCTTATTAACTTTTTAAGTTAAATTTAAAAATATTTATTAATTTTATTTTTTTTAGTACAAAGTGGGTGGGGATCACTTTTTTTTAACACAAATAAATTACTAATTTTTAAGTAATTATAGGATTTGAACTCATTTCATCTTAATTAATCATAGTTTATTTAGATCAATGATCTATCCACGATGGTTAAATATATTATGAATTAAAACATTAGACATCCGAATTCACACCATTATGTATATGTTGTTGAACTAAAAAATATTTTAATTTTAAAAATAGAATGAAAACAATAAATAGAGATAGTATCCTAGTTCAGCTGGATCCGCATCTTACAATTAATGAAGTTAACCACAAATGTCACTGAACGATTTTTGAAATTATAATGTTGCATATCTTTCTTGAGCTTTATTCTACGAACAAATTTACTTTCATTAGGCCTGGTGCACTTTCCAAGATTCGAATTACTTTGAGATAATCAAGCCCTACTATAAGCCAACATGATAACTCTAGCAATCCTCGATCCCATATTTGCTATACTAAAAAAGAAATAAAACTATATAATAAATACTTGTAGGTGTAAGTTTGCTGATCTTATCCTTTACAGATGGCCATAGTCCGCTGTGTAACGTGTTCCTCATTTTGTTGCCTGTTTCAATTATCAAGTACTAGTAATCTTTGCACCATTTTACTACTCGTAGAAATTTGTCAATGCTTGCTACTAATACTAACGTTTTACCCTTTGCTTCTCTCGTTTTATATTTTACACCTTTTTACTTCTCTCGTTTTATGTTTTTCCATTAATATAAATAAGACACTATAATAAGCAAGGGAAACTTTTAATTCTTCATGATTTATTCAAGTTATGAACTTCAATGAATACCTTATTTCATATATTTTTTTAAGAAATACCTTATTGTCAAATAGTAAAATATATATTTTGAGATTCTTCTTTTTTTTTTTCAGAATATTAAATTACATGGAAGATTGACTACTTAAATTAAATTTTTTATGGGGAAACATGTGATACTTGAATTAAATTTTTTACGGGGAAACATGTGATGTTGAACTATGCTCTGATTGACTTAAATTTGACAATTATACATTTTCACAGTACCGATTCAAGAATGTTTATATTTTATATTAAAAATAACAAATAAATAATAAAAAGTTGGAAAAGCCAAAAAAACTAGTGATTCTGGCAGGCCTTTTACCCATTACAATCATTGATTATTTCCTGCTGAATACGCAAAATATTCCTACGAAAACTCAAAAGTTATTCATACTAAATAGGAAGACATCAAATTCCAGCTAATTCTCATATGGGAAGGCATTCTCGCTACAAAACGTAAGAGATCCGAGTTCGAGCTAGATACTGGGTGCTGGCTGATCGACCTCTTATTAACCAAAACGTCGATAAACTTTGCAATATTGGGAAGAACAAGCTCTCTGCAGTGAAGATGTAACAATGGCACCTTGGATAAAACACTCCCCTTTTGCACGTCCAGCCCTTCTGGCCTCCGCAACTTGTACGGCTTCCCACTTATCTGCTCAACATCGACACGTGGCATCTGTTTCCACGTCCGATGTACAAACCAACCGTATTTGTAGTCACCGACAATAGGTGTGCCCAGAGCTTCAGCACAATGGATCCGAAGCTGAAAGACAGTATCAGATGTGTACAAAATGAAGTACTTAAGAATAGGAAGGAGTATTTGCCTCCAAAGAATCAGATGAATTCAGATTGACACTTTCCTTGATGGTTCGCAGGATCAATTATAAAGATGATACAAACCAATACATGAGCTTGTGCACATGAGAGAGAGAGCGAGATTCAAGTACCTGATGCTTTCGGCTAGTACGGGGACACAGTTCAATCCATGAACAACCATTTATCGTGGGACCAAGCACGCGATACTCAGTGATTGCCTCCTGAGAAGCCTCCAAGGATGTTTTACTCGCCAAGACGACCCTCTCGGTCTTCCCATCGTCAAGAAGCACCTACAATCAATTATAACATGGTTAGAACAACTCGAGCTAATACCTGAAAGACTCGTTTGACCTATATTCTCAAGCTCTAGAAGATAGATTTCAAAGTTTCTAAAGGCAGAGTAACCACATGTCAATCAATCAACCATTCTGATACATGATTGTATTCTAACTTTCAACTTATCAAGTAAATATTGTTGTCTGATTATTTTATATAAATCCACCTGCAACTATTGAGTGAGAATCATAAACATTGATCCCAGAGAGAGAGAGAACCTTAGACAGAGGAGCAGAAATTAGGCCTTCTCTTTCCCTTGGACAACCAATTACCAACGCCCAATACTTCTGATATGTTGCATTACATGCCTCGTCCCAAGCCTAAAACATCATTGAGCATATTATAAAACTTCAATAATTGTAAAGGAATTCTATAACATTTTTTAGCCATAGCTAGCACGTATTAGCATCTTGAAGATAAACCTCAGTTTAATCTTCTTCTTTGCTTTTGTTTTAGTTTAAATGCATTATGGCATTAAGCACCTTACATGAAGATTTTGCATTTCTTATATTGCTAAATAGCCATTGCAGGTGGGCTACACTTTCTTTTGTTCTCCCCATCAAGAGGATCCCGCTGCTCTCTCGATCCAAACGATGAACCTAATAATGAGCATCCATAAGAACAGATAGGGAGAGCATTAGATATAGATCAAGGCAACCAATAATGCCATTGCAGATGAAAAAGAATAAAATATACTAGCTTGTACGACCTTATTCAAGGAATAAACATAATTTCTCTAACTTCTTCAGTTGAATGACATCCTCTCCACTAAAGTTGGATGGATAATTTTTTGGATGAAAGGAAGAAAACCAATGAGGAGCTTTATCCACCCAAATTTATCCCATGTCTAGAGATAAATGCCTCGTAATTGCTACAACCGAAAGCAATAATTTTTATTCTACAGTACCAAAATCTGCTTCCACTAGATTGAGTCTCCATATTTGTAAAAACAAATGAATAACAAAGTAGTAGCGCCGCGGCATCCCTAAAAGACGGCTCCGTTGGCGAGGGCTTGGGTCTCTTGGTCATACCAGCTTATAAGTCTCAAGTTTGAACCTTCGGGTGAGCTTAATACCAAAAATCCTTAATGTTTTCCAAGTCTCAAGCCCTCGAGTATAGGGGAACAAAACTCTTACTCCCGATTATAAAAAAAAGATATATATATATATATATATATATAGCATGGCCGCAGCATCAACCCATCCTATTCCCAAAAGTATCCATCAAATATACATTAACATAATTACTCAGCTGTTTTTATACTTTATACAAAGATTTCTCAATTATGATATCTATATAAATACGCAACTTCTCAAACTCAATGAAAAGTTTTTGTTTCTTGGAGAAAAAAAAAATCTACATAAATAGGTTCCCTAAATATAAACAAGCTTACCAACTTGGGACCCTCATCATAATCATAAGATAATGCTGCAGCCGCCAATGCATCCATACTATTATGAACTGGAAGATTCCCCTGACAATACCATAATTTTTTCAAAATATCAGAGCAATTACTATTACCTCCCACCCCACCGCCCCACCCACCGGCAACCACCAGAAATGAAATAGGCAAATTAAAGAGAATGAGAATTAAACCTTGACAGGCAGTTTGGGGGGTTTGTTTAACACAATAATAGCAGAATCCTGAAATTTACAAAATTATTAATTAACCATCATATGAAGTCACGTCTTGCGTAAAACAGAAATCACATGCCATGCAAAATGAAGCAATGGAGAGAAGGAAATTAATTAATCATCAAACTCAACCGAGGTACGTAAGAAGATGAGTACATCTACATGGATCTTTCCATACCAAGTATATAGCAACTGCTTCTAGAACCAATAGGTAAAATACTAGGAGATTCATTAGTAGCAGGAAACAACAAAGAGAAGAATGCAAGTGAAACTTGGTACTTGCCTTGTACTTAACAAGTCTTTGCAAGTACTTGATTTCATCAGCGTTTGGGTACAATGTACCACTTGGTATAGTGTCAAATCTCCTAGAAATCTTCATCTCCGCAACTGACACAGGTATATGGACTCTTGCCCCAGTTTCCATAATCTCATTACTCTTAATCTGAAAATCATCTGGTAATAAGTTAACAGACCAACAAAGAATGACTTGAATAAGTAAATGAAACCAAATATCGTGTCCACATTGAAATTCCATTTTGAATCTTCAAAAGAGAATTGGCCGTTAATTCAAAAAACAATACCTTTCTCATAGGTTTCAAATTTCCTTTTCCATTTGATCCACCCGATTGTGGACATTCCACCTGGATCTGGAAAAGGTGAGATAAATTTAAACTCAGAATTGATTAGATAATCATCAATCGAGCTTTTATTATTGCCTTGAGAGATAAAGAGAGACAAAAACCATGTGTTATGTTGAAGTTGTGAAATATCCTTGAATATCCATCCAGATAAGTTGTTGCCCTTAAGTTTTTCCTCGAAGATATAACACAAACACAAACTGAAATTCTAAAAGCAAACAAGTCCGATGTACATTTTCTCTTGTAAATTTATCTAAGGAACTCAATTTTCTTTAAACAAACAAGAATAGTTTAAGTTCCCGCTACTAATTTACAACTTATAACTTGTCTCACAACTCAAAAAGTTTACTGGGGATTCTCGACATGAAAGAAGTTACATGAAGCCTACAAGACTAGATATAAGCATACCATGAAAAGGACAAAAGGACAAAACCAATTAGCTAAAATAAGAGCAAGTGTTCGTACTTACAAGACCTTTTCTGAAATGGGACTGAATTACAGAATCATGAATTTCATCAAAATAGTGCTTGACCCAATTTATGGCAGTGACATGAGTTGACCCCCCAGATATACCGATATGATTCTTCCGAGGCAAAGGGTAACCAGGAAATGGGGGCAATGATAGGAGCTGCCGAGGCTTTGGGCCCTCTTTAGGACTACCCAACTGTGCTATGTTGTTGGAAACTCTAATGACAGGCTTAGCATATGCAGGTGGTGGAGGAGAAATTCTGGAGTAGTATCTGGCTGCGAGTAAAAGATGCCGCCGTATGCTCTGCTGCATAATCCAATACTCTACCAAGCAAAACAGGCCCCTGATGACTACAGACCGCAATTATAAGTACGGAATAAAGAAATGCACCTCTCCCCCATGCACCTTTTGAAAATGCCTCCAACGCAAAAGGTTTCTCATGCAAATAAGTAATAAATGGTTTTGGTTGGGAAGAAAGATGCTCAATATGTCTTTTGATTATATTAGTTGTTTGATCGTTCCCCTCTGTGTGCAAGTGTGTTTGTTTCAACTCCGCAATTGTGTCTCCCTTATTCTCAACCTCGGAGACTTACATTCTATCGCTTTGATTAAACGCCACCTTTGAACCCCTAAACTAGCTATGCCGTTGCAATATGGCTAGCTTTACTAATTACAAAATGAAATATAGCTATGCCGTTGCAATATGGCTAGCTTTACTAATTACAAAATGAAATATTCTAATTAGCCTGATTCGCGGCTTTACTTCTTTTTGGATATGTAAAGCATTCATGAAGCTTAGAACGTTCATTTGTAAAGCACATTTATTTTGAGCAAAAGCAATACAAACGCAAACATGAGCACAAGAGGTCAGAAGTTCAATCCCACATTCATACATTTGTGTACTCGGGAAAGGAAAAAAAACAAACAAAAAGACAAAACAGACAGATAAGTCAATTAATATATACATTACTAAGAAACAGTGACCAGTTTTACAGTGTGGGTCATGCAATCAATTGCGTAAGAGATTGGAATTGTACAGAAGTGGACTATTAAAACTAGCTAGTTGTTTAATCCTACAATTGATGGATGAGTCCTGGGTAAGACAGAAAGTGAATGTTAGGGACGGAAATGGAGGAGCTCTTATCTCTCTACGAAGATGATCAATAACAACCCCTAAATATGTGCAGGTATAATTACGACAGGAATCAAATTCCTCGTGGAATATCGGTACCAGAATTTATGAATTCCAAGTTTATCAGTAAACCAGGCCAAGTTGATTCTAATATATGGAATAAATTGTGCTATCAGATGATAAAAAATAATAATAACAAAAACCAAAAAAAAACCCATAAATGATCTTTGGAGATGCTCGTAGTTCGAGAGAATACCAACCAAAACACTTCCGCCCCGTCGAAAGAATAATATATATAATTCGGGAAAAGCAAGGAGAATAAATAAGAAATCCAGGAATTAAAAGAAGAACGAACCCGACTTCTATGGCCTCCGAAAGGAGACTGAGCGGGAGTGGAAAATGGAATCCAAGATGAAAGAGCGCGGTAGAAGCAGCGAGAGAGAGAGCGTGTAGTAGATAGAATGGAGAATGGAGGTGGGAATCCGATTGGCTTCAAGCTATAAATCTCGTATTCTCAGAGGTGGGGCGTTTGAATTAGCGAAATCGAATACCGTGTGGATGCTGGAGCTCAACATCTCCAAGTTTTGCTGATGATGGAAGAAGATGGAACTTCAAAGCTCACTCGCTTCTTTGGCGGTCGACAGAGAGTGAGAGAAGTTAAAAATTAAAAATAGTGATAAAATGTGATATTATAGATATTTAAAGAAATTAAAATTTAATAATATTAATATTGTGATTTAGGTCTGTATCAATAAGATTTTGTTGGAAACTTTTTTTATATTTTGTCAATCCATTTACAATATTATGAAAATATTTATTATATTCACTCCTCGTGTTCATGTCAAATCTATGAAGATATCGACATGTTGATAAAAATTTAATATCTTGAACCTACCTAATGTTTTTTTACACCAATTCAATATTACTTTAAGTTGGTCTCTAATAAGCTTCTAAACGTTCCATTATACTTTGAACTGATTAGGTCTAATAAGTATATAGACTATTTAAAATTCACCTACTTAATTTTCTAAAATTCTTACATATTAGAAATATCATGGTAGACAAGTAATCAATCTTATTTAAAGTTAAAAGTTCAAATTTCTCACCTAAATTGATCTCAGAAAAAGCTATATAAAAAAATGCATGGAATTATTATATATTTTTATTTATTAAGAAAAAATATTTCTATTACATAATATATTTATAAAGAAATGATAAATGAATAAACAACCAAGCCTTGCAGCTATTTTAGTACAAAGAGAGAACTTATAATTATAATCAATTCAATTTGCCACAGCTTCCTAAACCCAACCCCATTTCAGCTGACGTAAAAATATGAGGAAAATGGAAAGAAAAAAAATTCATAGAATCAAGAAAATACAAAAAATAATTTAAGCTTATTAACCATTACAATACATTGGTCTCTATATCCCAAGATTTGGTGAAACCACCAACAAAAATGGGGCAGAATCTCAATCTCATTTTCAGAACCTAGACTTTCTTCGATCCATAATTTTGCATATTTTCGTCCTGCAAAACTGGCACATGCCATGCCATCAACAATGCAAACGTGAGAAAAACACGACAGAGCTAAGAACATCTGAAACTGAAAGTTGAATCAAAATAAATAGATGTTGTGTTGGATTAAAAAACTAGAACAATCAAACTGCAGCAAAAGATCAGTAGCAACTTTTTACACATTCATGGCAATATCAAACTGGGGACGGCTGGCTTGTATCAGCTCTAAAATTTGAAGCAACTCGAACATAGTTACCAGGAGTGCTGCCATTTACAATATTACTGGTAACAGCAGGTTGATGTTTTTTTTTTTTTGGGTAAGAAATATTGATTTCATTGATGAATGAAATTATAGAAGATGTATAACCGAAACCGAATTATAAAAAAACAGACCAATAACCAATTTGATACAAGATGTTAAGACTATAATTTGTAAAAAGGGATATTGACATGTACATCATCCAAGAGATACTAACATAACCCTATCAGAAAAATCTACGGGAAGGGTTGGATGTGTAGTGAAAACCCAATTGTTTCTTTTTATCCATAAGAAGGCTCTCATAGGCGTTGATGTTCTTATGATTAACATCCAAGACCAACCAGGTAAAAATAGTTGACTGAAAGTTTTCGGGTCGCATCGTGAGAGTCTGGAAGAAAAAGTAGTGTAATCTGTGAATGGAGCTTTCTTTGGTTTTATATTTTCTTCCTATGAGGGAAAACGAGCTGCAGAAGCCAATAAAAAAGGACTAAAATTTCTTAAAATGTGAATGGAACTTTCTTCTAAATAATTTTGAAATCTAAACTAAAATTTCACCTTCTTCAGGTGTCTTGTATTCCAACAAGCAAGCTTGCACAAAAAACGGATTAAAATTTCTCTCCATGTATGAGGTGACAAAATAGACCACAGATTTTTGTCATTTCTATTGAATTTCTTTAGCCAGAACACATAATCATCACTTCTAACTCTTACAAGAACTTGTGGTTGAGAGGGTTATCGATAAAGGAGATGAACTTACCTAGCTAATGAAGAGGCCCCCATTGGATTGAAAAGAGGAGTTATCCCTCCCTGATACCGAAATACCACCTCTTCTCCCCTTAAATCTTGTATTTGACTTCTATGGAAAAAAAAAATTTGCAATTTGAACAAATTTCCTGTCATAGTTATAATTGCACTTCTTCTCAACCTCCATCCTCTCACACTCCTCACTTTACTCTGTTTAACCTATTGGGTTTTATCTCAATGGCAGAGGTATTTAATTGGAAAGATTCTATTGCACACTCCAAACTTGAATCCATGTCTTAAAGTTCCTTCTATCGCAATTTACTCCCACCACTTACGATTTAGAAAGGTTGGTTTTAAGCCTTGAAGATCTTAACTATCTTCAAGGAAGTTTCCACCTCATTGTAATCAAAAGCTAAAACTAGATAATGTCCATCCGCAACACCTTTAATATGCACCTCCGATGATAGAATAGAATTCTTCAATAGATCACGCATTTTAACCATAAATGAGCAGCCTACTTGTATCCGTGAGTGTCCGAACCAGCTTACGCGCACCTCAATTGTTCTCACGGGACAACCGTCTGACCCTACAACATTTGGTGTCAGGAAACACATAGGAATTACTAATTCCTAAGGTAGGTGACCATCATGAGGTTTGAACTCATTCCCTCTTAATTAACTCTACCCCTTTCGACCAATGACCGCCCATGATGGTTTCCTTCTAGGTTTTTCATTTACAAAATTTTGTATTTACTTGATTCTTGGTGGGTCGTTAAATAATATAGATAATCTTTAAGTGTGCCAATTTTGAAAATGAAGCATCATAAATAGTAACTTGATTCTAGGTAGGCCGTCTCATCCAAATGGTAACATTCCTAGCCAACTTGAGCATAAACTAATCTTCTACAAGATTAGAGGTTCAAATCCCCACCCCACCCGAAGAGTATGAACATTCCTAAAGGAAACAAATGCTACAGTAATTATGAGTCGCATATCAGTAAATAACACTTCTAAGATACATGAAATCTCAGAAGTTTTACACACAAACCTACTGTCCCTCGCACGGTTAAGAGCAAAGTAATTACAAAATAGACAAATTTAGAAAAGAAAAAATAATGTTACCTGAACTGAATTCCCAGCATTCATAAAATCGCCATCTTCTTCTGGTACATCTCTAGTAGATGTGGGTCCTTTGAAAGATACTGCATCACGAACTTAACCAAGAACTTATCCTCGCGAATCATAAATGCCTTGCCAACACTCGTCTTCTTGATAAAACCTTTTGATATCAAGTGCTGGAGGATAGACGACCTCGGTATCACCCTCTTTTCAAAACTCAGAAAGAGCACAATTGGGTACTTGGAAATTTCTTCGGGCGTCCAGTCTAATTTGTTCATAAAGAAATCCAAGGCCCTCTTTATTTGCTCCTCGGACGAATTCATAAACTTGGGCTGCTTAAGAAATAACGATTGAAACTGCTCCTCTGACCACCCAAAGCTTTTAAAAACCTGCAGCTTTGACAACCATTTGTCCTTTTTCATCCCTGAAAATGTACACAGCCCATAAATAAACATCAAGCTTGAAGGATTAAAACCCGCCTCCTTTGTCTTCTCCACAATGTCAATGAACCCTTCCGCGTCCCTGGAGAGAGTCCTCGGGCGCACCCAAATCATTTTTGCGATGTTTGAATCAGGAACACCATAAGCTCTCAGCCGTTCGATATTGGGAGCCACAGATTCCGAAAACTTGTGCAAAACCCAAGTCCCACGTCTAGCAGAAAAGAGCGAGACAATACCATCGGTAGAGCCAAAGAAATTCCTAAGGAAATCAATACAAGGAATAATCTGCTTGTCCAAACTCCTTCTGAGGATGGACGGGTCCCTGGATATCACATCGACCAGAACTTGACCCGATACGCCGTTTTGAGAGAGAAACTCGAGTTTGGGCTTGAGTGTAGTGTCCGGATCGGCAAGAAGGAGACTGGGATTCCTACAGAAGATGCTGGCAGTGTTGGACGGAGCGAATCCATAGGCCTCGAAGAGAGCGATAACGGAGTCTGGATTGGCGGTTCGTTTGAGATGGATGCGCTTGGCAACTGCGACAGCCGAATCCTTGGAGAGCCCGAGGGTGCGAACGAGGTAGTCTACTGTCCGATTGTTGGTTGATTGAGAGATTTGAGACAGAGAGGAGAAGGAATTGAGGCCAATTGAGATGCTGTTATCTGTAAACTTCCGGAGATCGCGAGCAAGGAGACGCAGCGGAGCTTTGAACAGAAAATTGGACATTGGAGAGTGAAGGAGGAGGCGAGTGAAAAAAAGGCTTGTCGATTGGATGTTTACGCCTTTACGGATGTAAACCCAATTTTCCTATCTTTAGGTTAAAATATTATGTATTCTTAGTTATGGTTTTTTCTTTTTCCTTTTTCCTTCACGCTTTTGAATGCTCCATAAAATTCAAACCCCTTACCGTACCAATCATTAAATGACTCAGTGTCAATAAAAGTCATTGGAAATAATAAAATATTAAGATGGAATTAGTTCCCTTGATGTGTGGATTTTGACCCTTCGACTTTTCTTCTCGCACACACCAAATTCGATGATATGGGAACCGATACCTGCAAAATCAAACCGATCTAAACCGGTGTGACCTCAGTCACACGGGCTCCGATGCTTAAGTTAGCTAGGGAGAGTTGAGAAAATAGTTAACTAAGGATTCGTCACGGTAGGATCTCACTACTACTTATAGCCGTGAAGATGATTCCGTAACCTTCGTAGCCAAACCCTAATTCAACGTTGCAGGGCCCGAGAGATCGTTGATCGCAAGCGGGAGGTCCACGGGCTAGGTCGTGGGACCGACCCTCTCGGCCCGGTTAGTTCTCCGTCGGTCGCTTTCCTCGTTCTCTGCCTCAGCATTAGGTCGTTCTTTGGGCCGGCCCGTTACGTTGCAGGTTAGTCTCCCCCAATCGATGATCTCAAGCTTCAACCCATTGTCCGTTTCGGGTCGTTTTTGTTCTCTATAACAAGTTCAAACCATGGTAACGGTCTCTTACTTAAGATTTAACATCATAATTAGCTTGTCAAGCTTGATGTTATTTTAAGTGTTTGTACTTTCAACTTTAATTTAACTCATACGCAGTAGATTTCTCCGGACATCATTTTATATTAAATAGTTTATGTTGTATATATAAATTTTATGCTAACATTTTGTAAGTGATACTAAAATGGTTGTTTTTTTTAAGTATATGAATAAACATGAATGTTTTGAATGTATATAGAGTAAAAGTAACCTGCCAAAATGAACTACAAGGTGAAAAAGTACGAATTTCAACCTACTAATTTAAATTCCAATGACTTTTTGATTTTTGCTACAATTTTTTATCATCCAATGTCAATAACTATTCATCCACTGCCTACCTTGATTCGTTCAGTAAACTCCAATATATATGGGCATTAGCACGTTAATACACACAAAATTTAATTATTTATTCGTTAAAATTGTTATATATAACAGTTTCTATTTTTTTAATACATCGAGGATATGGAGGTTCAAACTTCAACTAGATGCTAGTTACCATCTAATAATACTATATTGTTTGAATATTTTAAGTTAAAATACTACTTTAATTTATATACTTTCAAAATATATACTCATTTTGATAATTGAACATGTTGGTTATCGTATCGTAACATTTAATTAATTTTATCATTGTTAAAAGTTCAATAACTAAAATTAAAATTTTAGATCATTGACTAAATGAGTAGGGATCAAAATAGTATTATAACCAATATTTTAATATTGCAACTGATAAGTACCACGAGATTTTAACCTATTAACTTAAGGAGGATTTGTTGTAAAATAAGATTTAAATGTTGTAAACAACGTTAGGTTAAAATACTATTTTAGTATACGTAGTTTTAGTCATAGTTTAGTTTGGTCTATTTACTTTTAAAATGTCAATCTCAATTCACATGTTTTAATTTTGGTTTATTTTAGTTTACGTGATTTCAAACAAAATTGTGTGGTATATTTACTTTGAAAAAAGTGACTATTTAAATATCTTATTGTTATTTATAATTTTTTTATCACAACATCAAGCTTAATATATCGATTGAAATGTAATAATCACTCGATATTAAAAAAATTTCAAATCGAAACTAAAATAATAACTTTTTAAAAGTGTAAATATCGAAAAAGTAAATATTTTGAAAGGAGAATACTTTTTTTTCTCGAAACAAAGAGGAGAATACTTAAATGAATGCTAAAAGTTGAAAATACACCACTAAAAATGTACTACAAGAATTAAAATGAAAAACAGCCGACACTTGAAATACGGACAAAAATATTTAAATTATAAAAACAAATAAATTATAACATCTAATTAGTCATTAGTATCTAGTAATGACGCGGTTTCAACGGCGAAGAACAAATAAATAAAATAGATATTTTTAATGAGAGAAAATTGGCGCGAACGAGCCCCAAAAGCCCTAGGGTTTTAAGCTTTTACTCTCACTCTCACTGTTAACAGCGTAGCGTAATCCTCTGCACTCTCCCCCATGAAAACCACAGCCCAAACCTCGCCAAATACTCCATTCGATACCTCTCTGTAATGGCAACTGTGTAGCAGAAAGTACCAAGTTTCTTCCTCCGAGCTCTTCCATGGCATCTTCTTCTGGACTCCGCATTTCTTCCCTGCTTCGCCATCAGTTCGTTCCACCGTCCGTATCCAATCGTTTCCCCAGAATCTGCCATGGGTTGTCAGAGCTTCGTTTCCTACCCACCAGCACTTCCACCTCCTTCAGGTCTATCCGTTTGTTATCGTCCCGTGGGGGAGAGGTTGGCGGGGGAGGGGGGGATGGTGGCAATGGAAGGGTTGTTCATGTAGAGCTCCACAAGGAGGCTACTGATGCTTACATGGCTTATGCAATGTCTGTGTTGCTCGGGCGTGCCTTGCCAGATGTTCGCGATGGTTTGAAACCAGTCCACCGCCGGATTTTGTGAGTCATTTTAACCCCTCGAACTTATAATTCTACTATTCTCAATAGGTTCCGACGAGAATGACGACATAAAGTTATCAGTCTGTTTTTGAAGTACTGTTTCATACATTTCTCCCCGTCGCCAATTTACGACGGTCTATTTCTTTTTTTCTTATTCATTACATTAATATGCTGGAAATTGTATTTCCTTGAGATCATGTTATAATGCCGTCATGACAATCGGATGGTTGTCAAAGCTTTGTACATAGACACGAGAACCTCCGAGATGTCCTTAAGTTGTCGAATGGAGAGATTTGAGAATTCAAAACGAAGATATTTCCTCCCTCACTGGATTAGGTATGTACAGGGAGTTAGGTTCGTTGGGAGTATTTGTAGGAGAAGGGATTTTTGATAACATCAAAGCCGTATTATAAAACGGAGTAGAACACCTTGTGATTCTTTGGTACGGACACCTGATGCGCTGTCTTTAGAGAAGATATGCCCCAGTAGTGATGTCCACTCCACTATCACCAACATCAACATCTATAGTTGCTCCCACAGTAGTGTCTGTTCCAGCATGATCTAGGAGACTTCAAAAGCAATTTGACAATTTTTGGCGTAAAATCATAATCGTATTTATTGCTGTATGTAGCCCCTAGTTGCTTGAGAATCATGGAAAGTGAAGCCTATTCTCAATGGGAAGAAAGCGGCTGATGATTAAAAAAAAAAATTAAGAAACAATGGGAGGAGGTTGCTATTTATATGGATATAAATGGTGATTTGACCTATCCATGTTCATGCACAACTGGATAGCGGTTGTTTAGTTTTTCAGGTGGGGTTTCCTCTACCCCTGCCTTTAGATTGTCTTCCTTTTTTGGTATACCAAAAGAAAGTTTCTTATCTAAAAAAAAAATGGTGATTTGATTACAAATACTGCTACCATATCTCTTTTCTTGTGTTTTCTTTTTCTGTTTTTTCTTTATGAGGAACCCAATATTATAAAAAATGTACGGAGGGAGAAGAGAGGTTTTGGGTATCCCTCTCCCCTGGATGCACAGGGCTTCAGAGGTAATTTCTAGAACCGTTTATTGTGCCAAAAGGTAGAACTCTTGCTTGGATCTGGTTGTTGAGCTTCTAAGCATTAGAGGATGAGAATCCAATTTTATACTTTTCATGAGTGTTTTAAGTTTTATTATCTGATGAGCTATGCCTTTGAGATGATATATTCACCTCTCCCTCATCAAACTTCAAAATGCCGATACACTCTAAGCAAGGTTGAAAAAGTAAAAGAATGATGTAGGGGAATGAGACATATACATGTTTCTAACCGAGGAACAGAGTCCATGTTGGAAACAGTTGAGTGCAAATCCATTTTTTTCAGGTTGTCTGGATTTTTCTTTTTGGTCTAGGAATCTTGGCCCAAATAGGTTGGATTTTTGTTCACTTATACTATGTTTGTTCTCCATATAACAATAAATTTACTTCGTTATCTAACTTGGTAATATTTTATTATTTCATTGTTCTCATACCTATCTTTTTTGGATTATAGTTAGGCTTAAGAAGATACATTTTGCAACTTTTTTTGTATTTTGTCTTTGTAGACCTCTTGCATATAATTGGAGTTAGAATAATGAACAGCTGTATTGAAGTGTGGTAAAATTGTGGCTACAGGTTTGCAATGCATGAATTGGGCCTTTCATCAAGAAAACCATTTAAGAAATGTGCTAGAGTTGTTGGAGAGGTTAAATATACATTTACTCTACGAAGAGCTGATTACATTTCCTCCTTCAATCACATGTTATTATCTCTATATTTAACTATGGGTTTTGATGCTCTTTAACAGGTTTTAGGTAAATTTCATCCGCATGGAGATACTGCTGTGTATGATTCCCTTGTTAGAATGGCTCAGGTAACGAGAAATATAATTAATATGATATTTATTAGGTTTAGTTTTTTATTTTTTTATTTTTCTTTAATTTTTTATTTTGTTAATTTAGATTATAGATACAATAAAAAGAATATTCTTTGATATGAAACAAAACTCGTAGTAACCAAGAATAGATACAAAAGAAGAGAGGGGGATAAGGCATCTCTCAAACCTAAATCAATTCAGAGTTATTAAAGAGCTACTTAGTTAACAATAACTAGTGTAGGTAAAGAGCTCCAGTTAGTGGCTACAAAATGAACCAACTCTAGCAAGCCAAAGTGAGAAGGAAAGGATTGTGCAAGCACGGAATTATGGAATTTTTTGAGAGGGTACCTATATGAGGTTGACGACTCTCCATCACCCTTGGGCTAAGTGGGCCTAAGTGAGTCACCTTATGGCAAGTCTCAAGTGTCTTCTAATGGGTGTGAGAATTTCTTGGATACCGTTGGTTTGATGTAGGTTTATTGGAATACAGTTCTTCCCATGAGTTAGAAATTTCAATGTTTCTTATGGCATCCTAAATCCCTGATTGCTTATAGTGCCTCCTTTTTAGGAATGGACACTTCCACCTACCTACTGACATCTTTCTTTTGGTCCCATCCTACATTTTAGTAGGTTATAGTACTTTTGTACCTCGTTTGTCTCTCTTTTGTCTAGAGGAAATTTAAAGATGTTATTTTTTTGACTTCTTACATAATATATAAAAAAATCCAAAACATCTTTACATAAGGTGGTTACTTGTTTTGCTCTAATTACATAATATGCAAAAAGTTTTAAATCCTTGATGTAATCCGTATCCATGTTTAGTTAGTTAGGCGTTAGTTGTTCGGTTGGTTTAGTTATTCAAGCTTGTTTGTTTTAAGCTGATTGAGTCCTTGTTTATAAAAGGAGGCTCCTTGCTGTATTTGGGTCAGTTTTAGAATAAGAATACAATTTTCCCTAATTGGTTTGCACCAGTCCTACTTTTTCTTTCTTCTTCTTTTTTGTTGGGGTCAGACGTTCCCTTAAATGATCTGCCCATTCCTTTCCACACTGATCACATCTCGTGGAAGATGTTAGAAGCCTTAGAATAAACAAAATAAAGAAAATCTCTTTGCTAGAGGATATGGAAGAGAGGAACATTGTGCACCTTTGGTAATAATTTGGGACAGAATCATCAACTTCTACTTTTGGGCTTTCTATTTGGAGTCTCTTTGGGCTTCTATTACTGAACGGTTTAGGGTGATTGTTGAACATAAATTTTTTTGTTCTTGCTGTTTCTTTTTTCTCTATTCAAGTCAGCTTCTAGTTCTTTAGGATTCTATTACTGAATGGGTGCTGGTTACTTTTCTCTTTTCCTTCCTTATTATTTATGGTCACTTTTGTTTGTGGTTTTAGTTTTAATTATATTATAATAGTCTCATGCTTAAAACAGGACTTCTCGTTAAGGTGCCCACTCATTCAAGGCCATGGAAATTTTGGTTCAATTGATGCAGATCCTGCAGCTGCCATGCGGTATACTGAGTGCAGATTGGAAGTACGTTTAAATATGTTTGCTTCTTTAGAGAACTCTGTTATTCTAAGACATGAAAAACCATTTTGTAATGCTTCAGTTTCTGACTTTTTTCAAACAATCAAAACTCAACCCCTTATCTGTCTTGTGAAAGTGTACAGAAAATCATTAAAAAAAGTAAAGTCGTTCAGTATCGTACTTTTTCTTGAGTCTTCTCTCATATTTTGCCCAAATATCCGTAATTTCTGGAAATTGTTAGTCGTTTATTCATCATCATTGTCTAGGATCTAAAATTTTTGTAATGGCGTAAAACATCTGTGTTTTCTTGCTGTCAAGTTGGATGGAATTTATATGATTAATCAAATAGAGTCTCATAATTAGTTTGCAATTGTTATTAACTCCCAAGGCAAGGGTTTTAAATTTCTGGAGATTCTCTCCAAGGTCTTGGATCAAGCTGTCAGGTGTAAAATTTAACAATTTAAAACCTTTTTGTGAAGTTGGCCTTGAGGTGGGTGAGGCTTCTTTGGAGATTATAGTGGGGGGTGGGGCCATGAGCATAATGCAAAGAGTCGAGTCCTCGATTCATGGCTACTAAGAAAATAATATTGGTTATTAAATAAAAATCTTTAGTGTTATTTTGATAGAAAATAAGAATACACTTACCTGTTCAATGGAAATTTTCTTGCATTACATGTTTCTTTACGAAATTGGATGCCCATCATGTGTTAGCTTTCTGATCCTGTAGGCACTTACAGAAGCAATGTTGTTGGCAGACCTAGAGCTGAATACGGTTTGTTCTATATCTTGCATTTCTTTCAAAATTCATTATTTTTTGGTTACTGTTCTTCTGTAGTTTTGTTATGTGTTTCTTCCACGTGTAGGTTGATTTTGTTCCAAATTTTGATAATTCACAAAGGGAACCTTCACTCCTACCGGCTCGGCTCCCAACTTTGTTGCTGAATGGTTCCTCGGGGATTGCGGTGATCCATTTGAGTTTATTCTTTCTTTTGATTTATAAAAGGATATTATAACATTTTAATTTATAGGTAAATATGTTCAGGTCGGGATGGCAACCAATATTCCGCCGCATAATCTTGGTGAGTTAGTAGATGCACTCTGTGTTCTAATTCGTAATCCGGAGGCTACAGTAAGTACTCTCTCTCTCTCTCTCTCTCTCTTCATGGATATTCCTTTTCGGAAATTGACTTCTCTTTTCCATAATGTTTGTTACGTGTAGTTTGTGGTGAACTGCATGCTATTTTCCTGTTGCAGACAATAACTTTTGAAAATTGAATCATCTTTGGTTCTGGGAGGACTTTAATATCAACCTCAAATATAATGCTACAAAGATTTAAAAATCTTGGTGTTAGTCTCTCGTGTTAAATATCTTATTATTTTTAGTAAACATTGGATAAGAAATATTGTCTTTTATGATAGAGTATGATGCAAATGATATGATATTTCTTTCTGGATTTAATTCACATTTTCATGAACATATTTTCAGAGTTCTATATTTTGAATATATTTTTGAAATTAACATTTCATTAATGGATTGAAATATATTAACATTCTTCGTAGTAAAGGCAAACTAGGCATTGAACTATTATAATATGGCAGTTCAATTCAATCTATCATTGTGCATTTCCTAATTTCTTGTTTGCAAGTTCATTAATTTTCTTTTGCTTTGTGAAAGTTGCAAGAATTGTTAGAATACATGCCTGGACCTGACTTTCCGACTGGAGGATTAATTATGGGAAATAATGGGTAAGATTTAGTTTTTGATTCCATTATTTTGTCACTTTTGTACCCTTCCCGTCCCCACACAATAAAAAAATAAAAAAGAAGAAGAATAAAAGGAAGAAGAAGAAAAATAAAATATTGCATCATTTAGGATATCTTTGTCCATTCCAATTAGCAATTTGTAAGCCACCTGTAAACTAACCTCAGATATGCCCCTTTAATTTTATTGATGTTTTGTCTTTAATGTCATCCTAATAGTTGTTCATCTTGTCAAGTATTTTAGAGGCATATCGAACTGGACGTGGACGCATTACAGTTAGGGGGAAAACTGATGTTGAGTTGCTTGATTTAAAGACGAAACGAACTGCAGTTATTATAAAAGAGGTGACTATTCTGGCGCCTCTCTACAGTTTGCTGGAAATATCTGTTTTAACATGTATGTCCTTTAATGGGTAGCATTTTTTAGGAATTATAAAGTACCGTTAAATGGTAGAATTCAATGTTGTTATTATTTCTATCAAATTTTTAATGGAATGCAGGTACCTTACCAAACAAATAAATCTGCTTTAGTGGAGAAGATAGCGGAACTTGTGGAGAACAAGGTAGGTGATGTTGTGAGGAAAGTTATATTAGTATATGTTCGTATATTTTGGTTGCGTCAAAATTAATTGATATAAACATCATGTTCTTATTATCTATTTATTTGTGTTATTTTTTACCTCGTTTAGAAATTGTTAGAGTATATATTAGTATATTTTACGTTCTTGTAAATAATATGTATTCATTTGTCCTTTACCTTCTCTAGGTCAACCTTGTATATTTGTCTATATATATAGACTTCAGTAATGAGAATAAGATCTATCTGGTTCTCTCAAACCTTAGTTTCTACAGAAATAAACTATTATGAGCTTTTTCCGTTTCAAATTTGAAACTTAAGGAATTATTTGGCAATTATTTTTAAATTTTTTTTCCGCTTTTAGAATAAAAATGTGTTTGGATAACTGTCATCTGATTTATGTTTTCTTTTTGTATATTTTGGAAAGGGAGTTGTTAATTCTTCCAAAATCACATATTTGCGAATGGTAACAAAAGGTATTGAAAGAAACCTCTAGAAATCCTTGAAAAGTGATATCTTCTAGTTTTTCCTTCTTTTCTTAGTCTGTGAAATGCTTTGTGGGGATGGTTAGAACACTTATGTTCTTGAGGACTCACACATCCATACTTTTCATGGAGATTACTCTTGCCAAGGAATCTCCATAAAAAAAGAATAAAATTTTGTTTTTTTTTAATATTTTTTGCTACCTCACGACTTTGCCACCGACTTTGAGAGTGAGTTTTTCTTAAGAAGAAATAATTGATGGTGTGAGTTAGAGAGATAACTATGTGAAGTCTTTACACAATAACTGCTGTCATAGTAGTACTCAGTTTGTTAATTGGGTTTAATAGTTGATTTCTCTGTTAGACTTTGTTATGATTTAGTTAGTTGGTATTTAATAAAGGAGGTAATCTCTCGTTTTCATAATTTTGAATAAATGGATAATCTTGAATGTTAGGCTACAATAGTTCATGGCAGTCCTGTTAAGTTTGCGTTGAATGAAACAGGCATATTTTTAGTAAGGATGAGAGGACTGTAGACACCATTTCTCGTTGACTGTAGTGTAAGTTATTGTTTGTTTAATGTCTAACTGTCCTTATTTTTATAAGCAGACATTGGATGGTGTAAGTGACATTAGGGATGAGAGTGATCGATCTGGAATGCGTATTGTAATTGAGGTAAAAATGACGTTGAATACTCTGCTTTTCTCATCGTTATGACCCATTCAAATATTACTACTACTTCTATCTAGGATATTAAATCTTACGAATTCCTTGGCAACTAAATGTTGTAAAGTATTTAATTCAATAAAAAGTTCATTTCTTGTTGAAAAAATATGGTAAGATCTCAGTAGTTGTCCTTTGAAATTAATTGAGGTACGGTGTGTAAGCTAGTCCAAATATTCACATATTACCAAAAAAAAAAAAATCGTGTATTACAAAATTGTCCTTTACAGCTTAAATATCGAGCTAAAGCTTACGAGGAAAAAGTTGACATAACATGAATTGCTTTGTCATGTGTATATTTGTTGCACTAGAAAAGAAAAGGAGTGGACAAAATGATAGTTAGACTGATGGGTCTTTTAATCTTCTTTACAGCTTAAGCGAGGAGCAGATCCATTAATTATTCAGAATAACTTATATCGCCTAACATCTCTTCAGTCTGGTTTTAGCTGCAATATGGTGGGGTGAGTGGGTGCTCCCTTCCTACCAACTTCTTGTTCTGCCTTTTTTCTTTTAATCATATCTTCTCATTAAAAGATATTTACATTAATTTGTTTGTTGATTACTATTCTCGTAGAACTTGATTATAGTCGAAGTGTGAGCAAGTTGGTCTGAACACTCACGGATATAAAAAAAATATTATATTAGTTTTCATGCTGAAATTTGAATTCAATTTAATGCTTCTCTCAAATTCTTTAGAACGATAATGTTGAACAATCCTTCACTGATATACTCCGAACTGATTCAATTACAGCTTAGATTCTTACCAAAAAAAAAGGTTAGAATTTGGTGGACCTAAGAAATTTAAAATATTACTTAATATAAGATATTTGAAAAAAAAATTATTTAAAATTTTTGGGATAGGATTGGTTGATTTCTATTTTAAGTAAATATTATCTAAATTCTAGAGGAAAAATTAATTAAGTCTTTTTTAAACCTTATGTAAAGCTAATCAAATTTAGTCCTATTACTATCCCAAAGCTCGTTAACTTTTTCCTTCTTTCTCATGAATTTTATGTTTTATAAGTTTGAAATTAAAGAAGTTGAATCCTCTTTTCTTGTTTCTTACCTCCCTCCCCCAATCCACGGAAAAACAAAGGAATAAAATGGTAAGGTTACTATCAAAATCAATATTTTGAATTTTGATTGCAAAGATAAAAGCATGCATTTTCTATCATCTAGAGTTTCTGAATTTTTTTGGGCGAATATTTGAATGAAATTATTACCCATAATTCTATGTTTATGAGGATATTGCTCAACGATAATTTGTGAATCACTTAATTGGACATTAACTTTCTTTGAAATGATGTGCTGGATTGTGGATACCCTCAATGACTAACGTTTCTCTTTTGAAATTTTCCTTCGAGTAATGCAACTTTAAATTTACTTGCAGTATCATTAATGGACAACCTAAACTCATGGGTTTGAAGGAATTACTGCAGGTGATTAGTTTCACATAATAAGTCTTTTTACTTCTTTCCTTTGACCATTTTCCTCTCCCATGAAACCATAACTTCGACATTGTAGTAGAATGAATTTCTTGCTTTCCTATTTCATCTCGGTCATTTGTTTTCATTGATAGTTGAGTTGGATTTTAGTGCTGTTCGTTCATATATTCTCATCACATGTATGAATATTGTTTATATTCGAGCTGTTAGAATTTTGGAGTATTTAAAAAGAGTTGAAGCATTAGAAATTTGAATGAATTTTTTTTTTTTTAAGAAACAAGGATGTATATTAATCATGAAACCCAAAAAAGGGGAAGACAATCTAAAGGCAGAGGGTAGAGAGAACCCTCTCCTCGAGACTATAAAATTAATCTTACATAATCAAAATTAGACTGTAATTATAAAAAATCTTTTTGTTGATTGTAGCCCACCAAGATATTCACAAAAAAAGAATCTTTTGGAATGGCTTTGTCCTCAAAAGTTCTACTATTTATTTCTCGTCAAAGAAGCCAAATGAAATGACTGGGAGTTTCAGAATGAGCTTTGTTGGTATTTACAGCGGGTCTATTACACAATGGACAATGCATAGAGGAGATTGATTGATTATGTACAAGGATAATTTAAAAAGTTACCCTTAAAAATGGAACACTTGTGGTGGGAACTAGAAACTGAAGGAGAAATTAATGGAAAATGCTACTGTTATAAGGAAAGCTACAAAGTTCCAAGCTCTTTGAGAGGCCTCGACTCTCTCAAAACTAATTTGAAAATCTATATGTTTTTAAACCCCTCAAACTTGTTGACTTGCAACAAAAATAAGTAATAATAATCTCAGTGCTATTAATAAGCTTTGGTCCAATTCATGGATGCCCCGTAAACATTTCATTCCTGAAAGAGTCTGACAATTTTTGAGAGTCAATTAGCCCTCTTACCTGTTGGCACTCAAGTCAGACACCCGTGTATTCATTTAGCAACCTTTTGCACAGTGCCTAAACATAGAAATTTGAACATTATTGGGGGAAGCCACTATTCTATATTGTTTCCTTCAAATTTAAAGCAGCAAAATTTGTGTATTCATTTCCAAACTTAGCCCTCTGACCGCTTCATTTTTTTTTTTAGTTTTCAGGTTGAGATGCATCACCTTCTGAAATGTTAGTTATATGAAAGATGTTATCTATACAATACAATTTGTCGTTTGTCAAGTTGAATACAGGAATTGTAGATGACTTCTGTTATCTATTATCTATTATTTGTAATTTGTAGTGGGAACCATAGGGAAATGCTTGGCTTGACTTTGACATCATTGTAGATTATAGCAATGTGCCCCTTCAAACAATATTTTCCTTGGCGTAATTTATGATTGATTGAGATGAAAGATAACTTAATTTTGTTTTTTCTTGAGTAAATTCCAGGCATTTTTGGATTTCCGGTGTTCAGTTGTGGAGAGACGTGCAAGGTTTAAGCTCAAGCAGGCAAAAGAGAGGAGACACATTGTTGAGGTCTGTACTGTCTCACCTAATGACATTACCTAGAGTATTGTCACAGGTCACAAAGTAGTGTCTGCTAGATGGAGAACATTTCTTGTAGATGCCCTTTTTAAAATTAAAATGGACGAAACCAATTTGTTGAGCAGAACTCTGGATCACTCTGATTTTCAAACAATGATTTGGAATTTTGGAAGGCTCCCTTTGAACTCCGAAGTGAAGTTTTGCTGGCTATTTGTACTTTAATTGCTAAATTCACATCAAATGTTATGTACTTCGAAAAATTCGATTTCTTTATTTCCCTGCTTATCCTTCTACTTTATGTTTCCTTTTAAAGTATTTATTTTCATTAGAAGAAATCTGAATCTTTAAACTATTCATGCCATTAATCTTTTTCTTTAGTGTCTCCTTGGACCGCCTGAATGTTAAAGAGAAAAGTCCTCTCAATTCAAAAGCCGTATTTTGCTTTCAGAAGTTCTATTCTTCGTCATATTTTTTTGTAGTTTACATAATACTGTCTTGTCCATAGGGTATTGTTATTGGACTTGATAATTTGGATGGAGTGATAAATCTGATAAGGGAAGCTTCAAGCAATTCTATCGCATCTGCTAATCTGAGGACTGGTATGTTTCTAGAATTCTCAATTTTTCTTTGTGTCCTCAGAAAAAAAAAACCTCAATTTTCTTCATTTAATGCTGTTTAGTTGGTGGCATTGGTACCTTTTCTTTTTGAGTGGTTGTGATTATTGTTAATTTTGATTTCAATAATTTTCTTTTGGTTTCAATTTTATTTTTAATTTAAGATCCCTTCCTTGGGGATTTTTCCCTTCCTGTCTCTCTTTAGTTTGTTATTGTTATTTTTTTTAATTTAATTTTTAAATGGGAAACCAACTTTTGTTAGGAAGGGATAAGAGAGGGCACAAAAAGAGAGTGTCTGGCCAAGAGGGGAGTACAATTATCACAAAATTAAAAAAAAAGAAACCCAACAAAACAGAGATAATTACAAATTATAAAGAGGCATTAAAATGCACCTAATTCCAAACATCCATCAATATTTTCTATTCCTTTCCATCATCTTTCTTCCTTTCTTGGTTATTAGACCGTCATTCCAACATGGATGTCTTGAATTTGATTGTGGTCAACCCTGAGCAAAACAGTACGCAAACGACCTTGTACCTTTTAGTGCTCCTATGAGCAATGTTCTGCTGTGGTCAAACTTTTTTCTGGATCATTTTTCTTTTTCCCTGATAGAAAATGAAAATTTTGCAAACCATTTCACTCGCAATAATCCATTTATGAGTATCTTGTTCAAAAACAATAATCCATTTATGAGCTACACAATTAAAAATTATATATATTAGAATCTTTTTTCAGATCCCAATCATCTTCTAAGGTGCAAAAATAGTGATTCAGAAATTATTAGCTGCAGTGAAAGGAAATGAAAGAGCCAAGGATACATATTCTTTCGATGTATTAAACAGAGAAGGTTGATTTCTGTAATGAAGATTTCTCACATTTCCCGTAAAATATTTCCGTATATTTCTCTTGTCCACGACCATTTTCCATGTAGAAGCAACTTTGATATTAAGACCATTTTCTTTTGTCCTTCTTTAGCTTCAATTGGCCAAATTTAAAGCATCTCAATGGTGTGTTCTATCCAATCTTTTCTCGTATTACTCTCCTACCTTGATTTACACTAATTGGGGGGCTTTCCTTTCCCATTCTAATTTGTATAGATTTTATTCTATTTTTCTTTTGGTTACTCCCGTTTGTATATTTTTTTCTCTTTTTGTTACTTTTCTCTCACTCCCTTGGGAGTTTGTATCTTTGAACATTGTATGTTCCCTTTCATAGATCAATGAAAAGTTCGTTTCTTGTTAAAAAAAAAAAAAGACCATTAAATGCATCTTCAAAGGTTATACCCCAAGTTATGAGGATTACAGATGTTATTCTCTTCTTTTTCTTTTTTTTTAACCAGAAACAAACTTTTCATTGATAATATAAAAAGGAAGTAAAATGTTAGGATGCAAGCTCCCAAAGGGTAGCGAAAAAAGAGAACAATTTATCAACCAGCATGGAACAAAGATGTGGAAGATACAAGATAATAGAACAATCGACCAAAATCACATCAGAAAAGCAACATCAGAAAGAGTAATGCCAAAAGTCAGAAAGATCAGAGACTTGAAAAGCAGTCTTCAACCATGCTTGCCCATCCAGAAACGACTGCCAAGGGGAATCCAAAAGAACCACGAAATAAAAACTGAGGAATCACAAAACAACCAAAATGAACTTGACTCCCAGAACCTGGAATTAAAGATTCGACTGAAACCTCCCCCTCCAAGCCAGCAAAAAAATCAGGAACTAGGTGCACCGAAGAAAGCAAGGTACATGATCTCCTTTTAGAATTAACTAAACAACAATGTTGCCGAACTCCACCAAAAACTTGGATTCCTAAACAGGATCCTTAAACCACTCAACCCTTGTCAAGAATTGTAACCATGCTGCACACCTTTAAACCAATGAAGAGACTGGAGAACAATGGTCAAAATGATTTTTCCTCCAAAAACAGGCTCGAACTGTCAAGGAAAGAGCCTGAACCCGAAACCTTACAACATAAGATTTATTCTATCATGAATGTTAGTTTCTTTGAAGATCGACCTTACTACCGAGCCTCCATTTTGGGAGACAACCTCTAAGTACTAATATAGAAGAAACCAACATTGACTTTTAAGAAAGTATTTCTTTTTTTGGATGAGAAACAATTTTATTGATGATATGAAATTATAAAAAAGGGAGTATCCCAACCAATGGAGTTACAAAATAAGTATCCAATTGGATAATAGATTAGAAAAACTATAATGATGAAAAAGGGGAGCATTTTTACCAAGATAGTAAGAGTATATCTTAAAAAAAAACTATTAAAAGAACGCTCCTCGTCTTCTGGAATTCCTTTCTTGCCAAGTGTTCCAAAAGAAAGCTCTCACAAAGTTCATCCAGAGGAGCTTCTTTTCTCTCTTGAAGGGGTGGTCCACCAATGTAAAATGTAGAAGAGACTTTGGATTGGTACGGAGAGCCGTGCACCATCCTCCGTACCAATCCAAAGGCGAAGAGGATAAGACTCCAAAAAGTGGTTGCAATCTTACAGGACTTCCTATAACACAACTCCCAAAATAAAGGCGATCAGCCAACCAATATCCAAAAGGAAATGTTTAGTCTACATTCAGAGGAAAAAGGAAGATCAGAGTTTGAGAGGGATCAGCTGATGCAGCAGCAAGGCCAATAAAATTTTCCCAACTCTAGCAGTTTACCATGTATGCTCATTAACCTCACTACAACTGAAACTAATGACTTTCCAGAAACAAATGATGACCCAAATTTACCCATTGCTAAAAGAAAAGGAATACGAATAAGCATCCCAAACAAATTTACAATCCTTAGAAAATTCTATCCTCCGCTTTCCATGCTTTCACTAATAACATGTAAACCATCCAAGTCCTAACAACTAACTAACTGTAACAAGCGATGAATTTACAAGCAATTACAAATGTGCCCAACTAAACCTACATGAGACCATGAATAAATGACGATAGTGTATTTCATTTTAACCTAATTACAACTTTATCATTACTCTACTAACTGGTGGTTGGACAGTGTATGTATTCTTTCATATGACCTATTTTGGCACTGAACTTATTTTGTACTTATTTTGATTGCTGACTCTGTTTAATGACTCTAGGCAGCTTCTATCATATTGCTGTGATGTAAAGTAGTCTGAAATTGCTGTTACTTTCCATTTTCTTGCTGCAGAATTCAGCCTTTCTGAGAAACAAGCTGAAGCTATATTAGATATTAACCTTAGGAGACTTACACACCTCGAGGTTTGGTGGTCATGCTAATCATATGTTAGAATACTTATTCTTTATATCATTGTAATATTCTTTATTATTTTGTCCTTTATGGTCCCTTTACATTCTTTACTCAGGTTAACTTTGTATATTTGTTTATATATATTCTTCTGTGAATGATAATAGAATTATTTGATTCTCGCACCTTAGTCTCTACAATATGATTGTCTCCTGTTGGCTTTTTTGAATTACATCTGAGTTATTGTAACCTTTTGTTCAGAGGAAGAAGTTTATTGATGAAAGTAAATCCTTAATGGAGCATATTTCCAAATTAGATGAGCTGTTGTCAAGCAGGAAGAACATACTGCAGGTATGTTATCTGATATAGAATTTTATCTCCAATTGGTGCTCATTTGGAGTTTCTATTGTTTTTCTGACCCGGTGTAAATTCGTTAGAGGCAATTGTGATGCTGGTTCATTGTCTTAATTTTCCCCTTGGATTGTGGGTTACAAATGCGAACTCTGGTTGTTTTTTCATGCACTTTTTTTTTGCTATGAGCAGTCTGCAACCTTTTTTAATGCTTTGATGGTGTTTCCCTGTAGAAGAATAGGGGACGTTGGCTATTGTCAGATTTTTTTACTCTCGTTTGAGGCTAGTAGATCTCTTTATTTGGTAGCATCTGTGTAGTTCCCTTACATCAATTCGGAAAGTTTTTGCTCTTGCTCACCTACAACTTTATGTTCTCTGTTTTTGTTCTCAGTGTTTTAAAATGTGTTCTTCTCGAAAGGCCCTTTAGCGAATTTTTTGTGAAGAAATTAGAAATGTCCTTCAAAAATTCTCTTTTCTCTAAATAATATCTTACAAACTCTCTAATTTCTTAAAATTTTCTTTAATTCTTTCCTGTATAAAAAATTATTTACAAATTTTATATTATGTGCCCAAAAAAGGTCCTTGCTTCTGTTGCGCTTCATACTTGAGCCCTGCATGGCTATTGTGCTTTGATATGCCTTGCACTTTAGAAAAACACTGCATTGGTTGAAAGATGCTCATCTTATTGGTTTCCAACAACCTCCTCCTCTTCCTGTTGTAATGCCTAGCAACTGTTCTACTTGTTTAGAATTATTATTCTTTCTCTATCTGACAATTCACATGGTACGTTTATGGTCTTTATTGAAATTGTAGTTAATAGAACAGGAAGCAATTGAGCTGAAAGACAAGTTTCCAAGTCCTAGGCGTTCAATTTTGGAAGACACTGATAGTGGTCAACTTGAAGACATCGATGTCATTCCAAATGAAGAGATGCTTTTGGTAAGTTAACAAATCCACTCATTCTCATTTTATGACATTATCTTTCCTCGTGGATTTTTGTTTTTGATAAGATTCCTCATGTATTATTCTAATACCAATTTTCATTTAAAAATATATGTATATTGTACCCATCAGGCACTTAGTGAAAAAGGTTATGTTAAGCGGATGAAACCCAACACCTTCAATCTTCAGCATCGTGGAACAATTGGAAAATCTGTTGGAAAACTGAGAGTTAACGATGCAATGTCAGACTTTATCGTTTGTCGTGCACATGACCATGTCCTGTATTTCAGGTACTTCTAATTTGACTTCATTAACAAAATTTCCTTAAATTAACTTATTAATAGGGCTGTTTTTTGTATGCCCTCGTGCATTTTTTTTTTTCATTTTCTCAATGAAAAGTTAGGTTTCTCATTAAGAAAAATTATTAATAGAAAAACTGGCTGATGCGGTCCAATCAGTGTTTTCGAGGCGCAAGGCGCACCTCAAGGCGACAAGCCCTTAGATCGCCTTAAGGCGAGAGGCGATAAAAAAGCGACGCCTGAGTGAAGCAAGGCGCACCTTTATTTATATATATATATATATATATATATATAAAATTCCAAAGTTATAAAACATTAAATAAGATTAAACAGTAAATATATCAAGTAAAATAAAGAAGCGTGTTTTAAAACATTAAAACATTAAAAAAATAATTTAATATTTAAATAAAAGTTCACTTAAATTAGCAAATAAAAATTTTAATAATTTAATATTTAAATAAAAGTTCACTTAAATTAAAAAATAAAAATTTTAAAAGTTTTTATATCGTAAAACGCAATGGCAATAACCCATTTAAGCTGCCATCTGTTTATTAGTCACCATGCATGGCACTAGCACTAAATGTTCTTGAAAATAATACCATGCATGACCCTCATTTAATGCTTCTTGAAAATGTAATTCTGGCTTTTGCTTTTCTCCCACTTTTCTTATTTTTCTTCTCTTTGCATCTGAATCTTCTTCTTCCTAATTTCGACACTTCTTTTTCCTTCCACTCTTCCACTTTTCATTCTTCTTTCTTCGACCTTTCATTCTCCTTCCATCCTAATGTTTTTCCTTTTAATTTCGACGATCGATAGAGGCAAATAGTTGCCGGCAAAGACAAAGAAGGTGAA